AAAAACAAGACTTAAAAAAAAAAAAAAGGATTGGTTTGTATAATAAATAAAATTTTCACAAAGCAGAGTACATACTTTATATTGCCTATTGAATGAATATTTTTATCTTTAAACATGTTTTGGACCAAAACACTTTTAGATTTTCAAATACCCTTTTCGCTTTACAGTCACTTATCACATAAGCCTGACTACTTTATATTTCACTTAGTTTAAACTGTAATGAACGTCATTCTTAGCTTTCCAGTAACTTCTCTTCAGGTAATTCTTACAAGTTTCAAGGGTCAATAATATGTTTAGGATTAAGTGTTTAATTTTAAAGGACAATTTTTTGATGTGTAATTATATGTCTGTTTAATGAAAGTTAATCTTACCCAGTTGCTTATTAGAAGGTATCTCCAGCAATTATTTTGCTTTCATTTCCAGGTTCCATTTTTTGAGATAGAAAGTCTACACACTAGCAGAAAGATGGCAGAATATCTACACAAAAAAATCTTTCCTCACACATATGGACTTGGCTGCTGACACTTGGGAATAACACTGCTTCACAACTTGACCTCCTGTACCATGAAGTGCACATATTGCGTGTGGAAGAGCAATTCTGTTTCCTAAGTAACTCCGTGTAAGATGATTTCAGCTTCTGAATGTGTGACCTTCCAATATTTGGAAGAATTGACATGTAAAGAGTAATAAAGAGCAACATATTTTCTTAACTTTTGTGTAAATATTTGTTACAGGGCAGATGAAAGTCTCAAACAGTCAGTACTGTGTTTCCCTTTCATTTTCACTGGTTCACACTCACAACTTTATATAGACTGGTGTGGCTACTTAAGGATACTAACTGTTGCTGTATATACAAAATATGCCATGTTACCTTCCAATAATTTTTTTTTCTTGACAGTATAAAAAGAAATTATGCAAATTACTCATAGCTGGTCGTATGATTTCCCAAGGGTTTCATAAAACTAAAATTTATAGTAGCTGCACAAGCACTATTGGCTTATAGCGCATACTTAAGAGTTGTAGAGTGCTGTTCTCTAAATAGTAATGCCTTACAGAAAGTAAGAAAGAAATTCTATGAAAGGTATTCCTTTGTCACTACCTGAGTGCTAAAGTGAGAAGTCAATCACTCAGAACTGAATGAGAAACACGTAGGAGGAGGAACAACACATGAAAAGCTTTCAAAAGTGAGGAGGGGTGGGAAGGGATTGAAAGAGAAGGGCGTGACATAAGCAAAGAAATCAGTAAACTGACACCGTATCCTGATGATTCACTCTATGGTGGAAGTGAGCCATTTCTCACAGTGGCCAGACGGTGGTGGTGTTCTCAAACATTTATTTTCCCGTAGCTTTTTCGAACACAGATGGTTTGTAAATATAGAAAAAACTACTTAAAAGAAGTAATTCGTACTGACTGTACTAAACTAAAAATAACCTTTACAGAATATGATGATGTTCTGTCTCATTCTTCACTGGCATACTTTTCATACTCTTAAAAAAGCATTCTGGTATTGTTAGAAAACATTTCCTTCTCACTTTATTTTTACTCTGTGTGATTCCTTTTCATTTAATGCTGCAGGATTTGTTTAACGAAGCATTTATTGTTGAAAAGGAATGTAGTAGTCGCTGCCCTCTTGTCCACAGCCACTACTCATTGAAAGAGGGGACCATGCTGGTCATATAAATGAAAGTGGTAAATGCTGCTCAGAATGGACTGCTTTATATACTTGACTTCTCGCATCATATTAAATACTCTATTGTTTGCCTAGTTTACTGCTTATCTGGGCCCCAGATGAAGAAGTTACTTGTTTGTATATACGTGTATATATATATATAATTACAAGCAGACTCACTGAATGCAAATGATTTACATTTCCTATTCTTACTATCTGACAGAACTGCAGTGTCAGTCAACACTGTGGACTTCCAGTCCTTCTTGTTCAAGTATGATAAGTCTGGCTACACTTTCCTTATTGAACAGCACCAATATTGCTGCAGCTTTAAACAATAGCAGGGTCAATGATGCCTGAGAGCCAAACCAGTGCACACCCTGCAGAAGATGTTTTTTCTCCCAAAAGTACCTTAAAACTCAACTGTTGGATTCAGTGAGAATACGAAGAGGTACATATTTAAGAGGGTTTAGACATTTACCTCTAGTTATGATTTCTAAATCATTCCTTGTGGCTTTTTGATCCTTTCTACCAAATGAATTAGTTCTCTTTCTCTTGCTAGTACCTTTCCTGCTTTTTGTTTTCTATTTTTTTTTTATTTTCCAGCCGTGGGTATGGAAACAAATATGATTTTTCTTGTGACAGTATTCAACACATCAGTCCCTCAGACAGCATTTGTGTAATTAAAGTCAGCAAAATGGATGCAAGAAATTACCTAAACCCAAACTTCAGTGTCTATTTAAATTCTAAGTACTCAGAAGTTCTCTTAAACTTGACTTCCACTTGAAGTCTACTGAAATTGTGAAGCACTTCTGGAAATCAGACCACTTTTTTACTTGCCCATTTATAGGTTAAACCCATCCCTTTTGGAAAACCTGGGTTGAATCACTGTTTCAGCTGTTGTGAAGATAAAGTGATGTCTAGCATCATCTTGTAGCAACGCTGTAAGTTTTAAGAAATCAGTGATCACCGATACCTTGAGGACCAAACTTGCTTACATGTTAAGTCAAATATGTGGAATCACTGCCTGAAATAGCACAGGCAGCTGTTGACTCAACATGTCTAATTTCCAGTGTTACTTCCTAAAATGTTCATCTCTTGTTGATGCTCTTCAAGAGATTTTTATGAGGCTATAAGGAGAAAACATACATTTGAATTAGCAAGAGGAAAAGTACAGCTGCTACTTCATCCAAATCATTTTCATTAATTAAAACAGAGGAAAAGACAAAAGCACTATTTTGCTTTTTGACATGTTTTGTTGTTGTTGTTGTTTGTTCTTCCACATAAATGTTTCTGGCAATGCCAGATACAAGTGATTTAGCACGGATCCAGGCTTGGAGAAGGTTTTTCCAACAGGCAGGTGATGCCGTTTTTCCTGTAGAACTCTGCCTGCACGTGATTAATCCTTGCGTGACCTTTCATCGGCTGCTCTATGGGCTTATTTATGCGCCTCCCATACTCTGAAGATGACAAAACAGCGACAGGTCTTGCCATTTCCTGTGAAAATGTAACATTCTCCTTATCATAAAATCACAGAGCGAATACTTGGCAGTTATCTACTGCTAAATGCGCTGTGGCTGGGGGCACAATAACAGATGGAACTTGTACAGCATCTGCTATACAAAGGTATATTTATTTAGCAGTGATCTGCACTCTTACTGCTCCATCCCTGACCTAGTTTTTTATGTATATTAATAAACCACGAATGTATCACTAGATGATGAGATGATAAGGTATCAAACTGTGCCACACGCGCACACACACACACACATGCGATCACCATTTGATTACTGGCAAAGTAAATAATGTGTTAGTGGAAAGTGGCACAGATTTTATTTTCATTCCTTATTTTTCTTGTGCCCAGACTTGCACAACTAAAAAAGCAGAGATTTAGTTTGTGTCCGTAATTACGGGAACCTTACTTATTACCCTGCTTGCACAATTCAGCAAAACCATTATATGAAAAAAAAATAAAAAATAAATCAAAGCCTAAAGAAAAACCCTGCACAACCCCTGGTGTGTGCAACCTTTCCCTGAGGGACATAAAGCATGCTACTGGATTTCTGCATGATGAAAGGTTTTACTAATACCGCTTGTAGCTGTAAGATTGTAGAAGTAACTGGTCTGTAATGATGGGAAGCAAAGTTGCTGAAAAATAATCCAGCCAAGACAAGATTATTTTAAGCCTATCCTTAATAAACTGCATTTTAAGTGACTGTGTGATCACTAGCTGCAATCTGCAGTTCCTTCCTGTGCTGCAGCAACAGGGAGCTCTGGAGTCAGAAGGGAAAGGCAGGGTTTGTTTGTTTTTCTTTCCCTAGCCAAAGGTCTCAGATTTATCAGGCTGCTTGTGTGTTTGTGCACTGGCTAACACAATAAGCCTTGGTCCCCAAAGTGTTTACCTAGTGCTGTGATATAAATAATATCTACAAGAAGAATCAAAATACAGACCACACCACAGTTCAGGTACAAACAAATGAGCTCTTTTCTACAACATAAATGGGTCTGAGCCATACCAAAATTTACGATTGGGCCTGTGAAGCACATGAATTACCACATTTCCTGTGAGAATGCAGGATGAAACACAGACCCAAGGGGACTCGTAGCAGGGCAGTCAGGTGTGTAACATACACAGATAGACAAATCTAGACCTGAGACTCTTGGGAAGATGGTGCAAGCCCTTTTTTTTTTTCTTTTCTTTTTTTTTTTTTTCAAACAAAACAGAATGAAAAAGCAGCTATTATTTCTCCAGCTCTCCTACAGCCTTCCTGCCCATCTTGCTCCACCCCACTGAAAGCTATTCAGTACACCAAATTCTAACCCCACCAAAACAAAAAGCAACAGTCAAGAACAGAAGGCAAAAAGATCAGACCATTTTCTCCCCATCCCTACCTGTGGATAAATGCTGAGAAAGAACTGACAGAATTTTTCATAGAATCACTGAGTGGTTTGGGTTGGAAGGGACCTTAAAGATCACCCAGTTCCAACCCCCTGCCACGGGTAGGGACACCTCCCACCAGACCAGGTTGCCCAAAGCCCCATCCAGCCTGGCCTTGAGCACCTCCAGGGATGGGGCATCCACAGCTTCCCTGGGCAGCCTGTGCCAGTGCCCCACTAACCTCTGAGTAAAGAATTTGTTCTTTATATCTAATACAAATCTCCCTTCTTTTAGTTTAAAGCCATTCCCCCTGGTCCTATTGCTACGTGCCCTGACACAGTCCCTCCCCAGCTTTCCTGTAGGCCCTCTTTAGGTACTGGAAGGCTGTTATGAGGTCTCCCTGGAGCTTCTCTTCTCCAGGCTGAAGGACCCCAACTCCCTCAGCCTGTCTTCACAGGAGTGGCGCTCCAGGCTTCTGATCATCCTCATGGGCCTCCTCTGGACTCACTCCAACAGGTCCATGTCCTTCTTGTACCGGGGGCCCCAGAGCTGAATGCGGTGCTCCAGGTAGGGTCTCACAATAGCAGAGCAGAGGGGGAAAATCACCTCCCTTGCCCTGCTGGCCACGCTTCTTTTGATGCAGCCCAGGATATGGGCGGCTTTCTGGGCTGCAAGAGCACATTGCTGGCTCACATCAAGCTTCTCATCAACCAACATCCCCAGGCCCTTCTCCTCAGAGCTGCATGTCATGATTTTTGTGGGTTCTGTATTCAGCAGATATAATTTTTTCCAACAGCTGGCTGGGAAGCATCCCATTACATGCCCTCACAGTGTGTAATTCTACCACTGTTAACACTTGAAATCAGCAATAGCAACCATGTGCAAACACTCTCTCTGCAGTCACTGCATTATGTGCAGCTAAACTGTGTCTGTGATTGTGCTGCTGGGTTCCCTGGGTGCACCCACGCTCTCTGCAGGGAACGAAGGGCTAACTTGCAGTGGTTCAGGCTTTTTCCTCTTCAAAGAAAGAAGTGCACTGTGGTGGATTCCGCCCGTCTCAGTGCTGTACTAGAGAGATGTTGATTTGGGCATTTTTATTTATTATGTTTTATAAAATTGTTAGTATTATATAAAGTCAGTGGGGGCCATTGAGGTAATTGAGGAGCAGGAGTTGAGTACGTGACCTGCATTTAGTTACGGGTAAGTCCAGTGTTGGGCATCATCACGTGTGTGTGTGAGGATCGTGTTGCAACATTTAACAGCTGTGGTTTTGATGTGCCTCCACGCTAATTAAGGGGCTGGATTAAGGGACACCTGTTCAGAACAGTTCCCAGGCCGAGTCACTTGCATGCACTGCCCAGCAGGGCTAGTGTGCATGCTGACCCAAAAGCGTGTGCTTTAGCAAGCAAACTTTCAGGAAAGTGAGTTTTGCTGATACTGAAGGGACACAAGATCTCAGTTAAAAACCTAAGATTTGCACTAACAGAAAAACTCTTTCTAAACAAACTTCACAGGTGGATTTGGGTTTGGGACTGTGGGTGGTGGTGGGATCAGCTTGGTTTAGTTTAAACAAAAAAGCTCATTTTTCATTAGTCATTTACATGGCTTTTGGTCTCGTGCAGATTTACAGTTTTGTTGCTGAGCATGAGCAAGGATGGTAATGGGCACTTCTATGATTCCCTTGGGTGCACCTAATGCTCCCTGCAGTATCTGATGGAGTTGAAGGGGACTATGATTGTGCACTGAAATGTCTGGCATATATAGCTGCTAGTAAGATGAATTACAAGCAGTGGCCTTTGTCCCAAATTTTCAACAGTTTTATTACCTAGCAATTACAGTAATTTTAACTTTCTCTCTCTCTTCCTTCTTCCATTTCTATCATATCTAATACAAGCAACCACTCTTACCTTACTCCCCTCTTTCCATTCCATGAACCCTCTGCAATTTTGAGGCCATTAACACATGGAGGTTGCATTTTATCTGGTTTTGGACATCCTCTGCCTCTATGATTGTCTGTGTGTGTATATATATGTATATATGTAATGTGTATTATTCAGATGCTGCATGGAAAAATATATTTATATATATGTATCTATTACAGTATTTCTATTTTCAAGGCATCTGTTTAAAAATGTGTCTGCATACTTCCTTAGCCATCAGGCTCCACACTAAATCCAGATTCTGCTGTCCTTTAATGCTTTGGTTTCAGTGAGCCTTTTCCAGGCATGTCCATGGTCTTCTGACCTCTCCTTTGCATGAGCTCTCTTTGATTTTCCTTCCTATGGGGCGATCTGGGTGTAAGTTTGAGTAACAAACACACCAGCTTCAGAGATCTGGGCTGTCTCAGCAAATGTCGATTGATACAGTGGAGTGCAGGGCGGGAGGATATCACAGGACGGTGGTTGAGTTGGAGCCCCTGGTTCCAGTTCTCTTAGTGAGAATAGTTTTCAAGCATCATGGAAGTAGCTGTAGGACCACCAGAACTGCAAACTCCCAAGGGGCACAGACTGATCAGAAGTTACTCTGTAACAGGTGGTTTGCCTCCCTGTATGTACTTCTTTCCCCCACCCTTTACCTTAAATAAGGTTTGTCACCTGGATATCTACAGGATGCAAAGAGCAGGAGCTAGCTCAGGTGTCTTGACTCGCTAATAAACTCCAGCCACCTCAAAATGTAAAAAATACTTTTAACAAAGAGATATTATTAAAGGGTTACCTCATCGTTAACATGAAGACCAAGACTCTTTGAGTGTTCTCTGTCACATCGGTGAAGTTTTTTGTTGTAACCCTCTGGTCTTTTAAAAATGGAATCATAAGTGGAAACCCCCTCTGCCTTGAGAAAATGAGAAAAATGGCTAATTAGCAGTATTGTTTACCTTTATAGGTTAAATAATACATATAGTAATTCAATAATAAAACAGTGCACATACAGCATTAGATGATGGCAAATGTATGTACCTGAGGTACCATTAGCACGTTTGGGTTATTCCTTTGAAATAATTTGCAATAAAAATACCAAATGAGGTGTCGTTATTTATTTATTTTTGATCTGTTCATCTTTCAAATTTCCCTTGTGGAAAATTACCTCAAATTTTCCCTGTAATCTCTTGAAAAATTTGGAAATGTATCTGCTTTATTTGTTTGCTTTACTTCTATTTTTCTGAACCTTATATTCTTCTTCTTAAATTCACAAATTTTTAAATAATCTGGTACTGTTATATAAAAAGAAAGCAGGCAGTTTCAAAATTCATTTGGAATGAAGATAATATAAGTGCTCTGCAGTGGAATCACCGTTTAATTTCTGGTTAAAGCAGAACTGAGAAGAGCTCAGACACCTGCCACAGTGGTAATCCTGTCAACTGTAACAGTATGAAAATAAAGCAAACCCCAAGCCAAAATATTATTACGTTTATGGTATCTGTTGACATAGTTACATCCTAAAAACAACATGAAAGACCTGATCTGCTAAGAAATGCACTAGTGAAATCCAATTAAAAAAAAAAAAAAAAAAAAGTTATCAATGGAGGAATTTCAAAAACAAAAAGACCCAAATCCCCCATTTTAATATGTTGTCAGTTGTTTACGACCTTCATTAAAAGGTCCATATTCCAGTGAACATGCCAATTGATCACTGTTTTTATGCATGGTTTACTAGCCCTGTCCTAGATGATCTGCTTAAGATCTCTGCCAGAGGTACAGAGACAACACTTCCGTGTTCAAAATCCTGGTAACTCTTTGCTGTTGTTTCTTTTTGTTGTTAAATGCTGACTTACTAGGCTGAGGTGGTGAGGCATCCTCTGTGTAATGCTACAGAAGCTAAGCACTTTGCAAACATTCATTAATATTCCAGGCACAGATAAAATAGGTAATAGCTTTCTCCATGTCACAGAAGAGGAAACAGGACATGAACTGGCTACAGAAACTTATGCAAAGTAATACTGGGAGTAATTGTCAGCCAAGGGATTAAGAGGTGGGTATTTCTGGCTTCGGGCCACATGCTAAGCATCTTCCTCTATTTATCTCTGCTTCAGTCTCTGCCACACAGTTTATATGGGTCTTTAAAATCAAAAAAAATGAATGCATTTCCCTTTTCCATATAAATTGAAATTTTCCAATGCTCTAATTCCTTAATTGTGCAGAAGAATGGGTCAAGTCTGGTTCCTCCCCTGTGGCCTGGCCCTGTGCTGTGAAGAAACCTATTTAACAGCTGTTATCACTTTCTGTTTCCATGCCACTGGAGCAGCTTTTTCTACAAACCAGGTCATTGGGAGTGTGAAAGTGGACTTTGTATTGTAAACAAAAGCTCTACCATATGGTTGCTAAATCTCTGCAGACAGGACAGACATCCTTCCTGCCAGCTCCGCCACCCCGAGCACACCAGTCAAGCCCTCTGACCTTCCCCAGCCTCACTCCTGTTGTGCCCTCCCTGCCGTGTCCTGGTGAGCATGACACCGACTGTGCTGGGTCACATTTGGCTCTGAGCACCTTCCCGAGGTGACACTGAGATCCACACAACAGCATTGAAAATGGCAAGGCCTCCAGCAGGGCCAGCGCTGCTGAAATCTGTGCTGCTGTTCACTTAAGGAACAGCGGGTTCACAGGGTCTGGCCAGCTGACTGACAGGTTAAGTGTCAGTGTAATACCTTTTGGAAACATTCAATTATCAATGCAGATGTCTGTTTTATTGTTTGAGACGTTCTGTTGATTTTTCACATTAAAGTTAAGCGTACACAGAAACCTGTGTGATGCACACTGGAAACTGTTTCCCTTGACTGCAAAAAGGGCAGATTCTTACAAAAGGGTCTCAATCCTCCTTTATCAGAAAAAAGCAGGCAGTGCACCCATGCCTTGAGGCAGGTGTTGCTCTTCATCACCCCACCTCTAGCATTGCCCTAAATCTTGCCCTTTCTTGCATTTTGACAGCACTATGCGGCTGGTGGATCCTTAATCCTTGCACAGCTGCTAGCAAATTTATCTGCCTTCTGTCACCGCCCAGTGAAAGATACTTCCCCCATTTTCTATCCACACGTAGCACATACCTGTCACGCTTCACGAAGGCCTTTGAAGATGAAAATTGCTATCTGAGTGCCAAGTTACCACGTCAGACTGCCTAGCTCAAGAGTAGAGCGCGGCGTTTTCATAGGCCTCCCCCCTCCCCAGCCTGTAACTCACACCCTGGAGACGCTTCCCAGGCGCCAGGCACCCTTCCAGCTATGCAGGACAATGAGCACTGCTGCCAAAAAACAGAGGCTTTGCTTCTCCCCCCCGGCACCAGCCCTCACCTGGGCCTCTCGGTAGAAGTAGCTGAGCTTCGCGGGGCCGTCTCGCCTAGGTGGGATGTAGCTGAAGGCAGACAGGGAGGAGACGGGAGGCTGGCGCCTCCTTCCCACCTCGCTGCCGCCTTCCTCCTCATCCCCTCTCTGCTCTTCTTGCTCTTCTGCCCCCGCTGGGGCAGAGGCTGCCATGTTGCCTGCTTGTGTTACCTGGTAACGCTCTGCCATGGCGGGGCGGGCACGGGCAGCCCAGCAAAACGGGTCATGGAGGAGGGAAGGGCTGGGGCGAGCACTCCTGGGGTGAGGCGCTGTGGAAGGACCAGGTGTCCTGAGAGGGCAGGGCTGTACCCCAGCAAGCTTGGGGGGTGTGTTAAGCCTGGAAATGTTTAAATGTGAGGCCACGGATTTAAGCAGCAGTCTCAGGGCTGCCTCACCAATCAACTGCTCTTCCCAGCCTCTGGTTCCTTCCTCCATTCAGCCTCTGATGTATTACCATCTCTGGAGTCTGGGGAATCACAAAACCACAAAATATCCCAAATTAGAAGGGACCCATAGGGATCGTCGAGTCCATCTCCTGGGTCTGCACAGGACCACCCAAAATTCAGACCTTGTGCCTGAGAGTGTTGTCCGAATGCTTCCTGAACTCTAGGGAACAGGGGGAGAACAAAACTGCACCATAGAGGACTGATTTTTTTCATTTGGGGTTTGCCCTGTGCCAAAAATTCCCTCCCATGGATCTTTCTGCACTTTGAGAGGCTGAATAAAAAGCACACCAAAACATGGCATTTTCAACAGCACCTTGGAGAACTAGGGGAATCTTCTGCCCTGTCACCCAGCTGGGCACATTTTTCTGATGAGGTGTTTAGCTGCTTCAGTCAGTTTGGTCTGAGATGCACACATACTTGAGTCTGGGGCACTGAAAGAGAGCAACTTCCAGGTGCAAGCTATATTAACAGATCAGCTCTAAAATTGCTCTACTCCAGTAACACCTGGCTCCTATTTTCTACATTCATTTCTCAGTTATCCTGCGTAACTATGACCATGATTTTTCCTATTGTGCTTCTTGGGGATCTGTGACTAACTTAATTTGTGTTACTGCTCTTTTCTGCCACTGTAGTATTAGTGCTATAGGTACAACATTGTTCTTATTATAGTTTTCAGCATTTTTTTGGCAAGCACTTACACAACAGCAATCTTCCAGGCATTTTGATTTTTACTGAACATCCAAAAAAAAGAAAAAGTAAGAAGTATTCAGTCAGGGTACCAGACATAAATCTTTACAACCAATTCCTTCAGTCGTATTGGGTCCACGTAACAATGATGTAAAAGTCCCATTTCTACTATATAGTTGCCATTCTCCTTTAACTAATTGACTGACTAACGTAGCATCTCGCTCCTTTTCAACTGCAATGGGGAAGTATTTGTGCTCTACAGACCTGTTGTTTTTTTTTAATCATTCATGACAATTTCCATCTGTTTATCTAATAATATCCCTCTCCCAATTAGGGTTCTCTTCTTCCTGTAGCATTGGTCAAATTACCACAGAGCATGTGAGCAGTAGAATTTAAAATCCAATAGCCGTCTGACATCAGCTTCCTACACAGAACCACACATGCCACTGTGCAAGTGCTGTTTTGTAGTTTAGTCCCAGCACCAAGAGATTGCAAAACATTTTATAAAAAGCAGCTCAGCTGAAGCTGTAGCTATAAATAGAGCCATAAGGAACTGCTCACCAGAAATTTAAACTAAGCTAGGCAGGATCTCTGAAGTCAGATTTGAAACGTTTCTCTTCAATACTTCTCCGGGTATGGCAGATGAGGTGAGTGAAAAGATGAAAGAAGAGGTATTTGTACAAGTTCTCTCACCAGGACCTGATAACCCCTCATAGCAAGTGCAGCATCAAGACCAGTGCTGTGAAGAAGCAGCGGTGAGTTGCAGTCATAGGTGACTCCCCTGTGAAAGAAACAGAGGCTCCCACCTGCAGACCAAACCCTCTTTTCAGAGAAGTCTGCTGCTTTCCTGGGGTTCAGATCAGAGACATCACCAGCAAGTTTATGAGCTTAGTACAGCTTTCAGATTACTGTCGACTCCTGCTCTTTCAAACGGGTACCATCAGTGTCACAGCAAGTCTGAAGTCAATCAAAAGAGATTTTAGGGTCCTGGGAAGATGGCTAAAGGATTCAGAAGCCCAGGAAGTGTTTTCCTCAACCCTCCCACATGGAAAGAAACAGGCAAACCCAGGATATCAATGCCTACCTCCAAGACTGGTGCCTCCACCAGAATTTTGGGGTTTATAGTTGTGGGAGCACCCTTGAGACATGAGGTCTGCTGGAGCTTTGTGGGATACACCTGTCTTGATTGGGGAAATGTTTCTTGGCCCATAACCTGGTGAGACTGATTGGGAGGGCTTTAAACTAGGATCAGTGGGGGCAGGAGATACTGTTAAAAACTGTTAAGCATAGGGATGGTGTAGCACCATTTGAGGGTGACAAGGCAATTGGGAGCATCTGTACTGCTCCAGGGAGCGCTGTGGGTTCAGGAGCACATCTGAAATGCCTGTATACCACCACATGCAGTATGAGGATCAGACAGAATAAACTGAAGGCTTTCCCAGAGCTATAATATCACTGGTATTAGTGAGACTTAGTGGGACAAACCCCACGACTGGAGTGCTGGGATGGAGGGCTGTCAGCTCTTCAGGAGGGACACACTGGACAGGCGAGGTGGAAGTGTTGTGCTGTACGTGAGGGAGAGTTTGCACTGTACGGCCTTGTCACTGGGGATATCGCAGTAGAGAGCCTCTGGGTGGGGATTAAGGGGATGGATAGTAATGCTGGTGTTGTTGTGGGTGTCTGCTATTGACTGTTCACCCAGGATGATGGCACAGACGAGCTATTAGGGGAAATCTCTGGATCATTTGCCCTTGTCCTTATGGGGGATTTCAACTTCTCAGATATAAACTGGGAATTACCATACTGCTGCAACAAGCAACTGTGGGAAATTCCTAAAGCGTGGTAAAGATAACTTTCTGTAGTGAGCCAGCTAGGAAAGGTGTCCTCCTAGACCTGTTGCTCGAGAATAAAGACTCGTGGGAGAAGTGACGGTAAGGTGGCTGTCTTGGCCACAGTGATCATGAAATAGTTGAGTTCAAAGTTTTTGGTGTAAGGAGAAAAAAAGTCAGCTGAGTTGCCAGCCTGGGTTTTAATGTAGCAGACACAGCTACTCCAGAAGCTAGTCAGCAGTGTCCCCTGGGACCCTGCTTTGGAGGGTTTAGGGCATCAATTGAATTGTACTATACAGATTGTCAAAAATATCATTGGATACCTGTTACAGATTTGTCCTAAATCCCACATTTGAAACAATTTGAAATGATGTTTTTCAGTTCATTCTCCCTTCCCAGTCAAGGCAGAAATCTCTCTAGAGTGAATCTTACAAAGGCTTTTTCTTCCTTTCTTCCCCTTTTGCAGACTCCCCACATGCAGGGCACGAATTCCCAGGGGCTTTTGTTCCAGTCACATACACTACTCATATACTATTGTAACAGGTACGTCACTTATAGCTTGGCACTGGAGGTAAGTCAATTTCCTCAGTAACTTAAAAAGCAACTTAAAAAGAAGCATGTAAACAGTTGTGAGAAGGCAATGGAGTGATTTTAATCTATACCATCAAGAGTATGCATTCAAATACAGCTGACATCAGAGACTAAAGTGTTAAAAGTTGCTTTGCATTCAGTCAGTGTCTTAGGGCTAAGAAATTTAGTTGCCTACCTTTTTAGGAGGTAGCATTATCCTCCTTAGATTCCACTGCTATGATTTCTGTATTTTCAAGACGTTGATATTTGCTTGTGCAGTGATAACAGTGTCTCAGAGGCAGGGTGATTGTTCTGAAATGCCAAAAACTGATTTAGGGAATAACTTGGCAAGTAAATTCCTTAAAGGAATTAGTGAGGCAAGTGGTCATGGGGAAGATGATGGTGGGGCCAGGGATGGGGATGGGATGGACACCAGAAGACAGACGACATACAACTAGACAGGCCACTGACATGCAGAAAAGCTGCAGTAGCCGCCTCCTTGCCACAAGCTGACATACCTGTTTCAAGCTAGTGGCACTTAGAGCTGAGATGGCTACACTGCTGTCAAATCAAGGCTTAGCAATTCAGCTCCTGTCCCTGCCACTTGGCCTCAACATGCATCAGACTGCTGCATGTTCCTGGGCCATGAGGGGGAGACAGCCTTTCCAACAAATGTTGCGACCCATCATGCTTGAAGAAGAAGCTGAAGCATAGATGACTCTAAAACTGTCCCCTTTCCACTGTCATAGCTTTGGTCCTCATTTCAAGTCAGGCCATTAATTTCACACAAGTGCTTGTTTCTTCTGAATAGTGACAGACCATCTGCCTCTAATGGGAAGGCTCTTCAGAGGTTTGCCAGAGGAGAGGTAGGCAACTGTACATCACCTGCAGAACTCAGTGCACCTTTTGCAATCTTTAGAGGGAGGCGGGGGGTTGTTCATGTGCTACTTGGGATTTTTTTTTTTAATCATTTTTAAATTTCCCTTGACTGTATCTATTGTCTCAAATAATTCTCTATATAATTACTGAGACTAAGTGACCACTTTGTAGATTGCAAACATTTCCTGGTTGGATTGTGACTATAATTTCAACCGCTTGACTTAGAATTAGGATTTTCAAATTTTTATTTTAATAATTTAAAAACAATTATAAAATGGTAACTGGTTGACTGACATGATTTGCAATTATTATTTGTATGCTGACTGATATCTGCTGAATGGATATTCCAACTCACCATATCAGATGAATATTCTGTTTAATAACCCTGCTGGTAAATAGAATAATGCACAATTTTATACATGAAATGGACATTATTATATGTAACATTTTGTAACACTGGTTTGAAATGCAAACATAAAGCCCAGGAACGTCAGTCTTTCAAAATACTTCACAGGCATTTCTTCCTGTCAAAACTGAGGTTTTTCACACAAAACATCTCAATTGCTGCAAATACATTTGAAAAATACTCCATCAGAAATTTTCAAACAATTGTCGGCAGAATCCTTGTTTTAACAGTGGCATCCTATAGTATAAAGGGTTTCATAGCTTGATAGTTGCAAACCAGATTAAAATTTCCTTTTATTCCATTCTGGTATATTAAAAACAATATTTACCTGGATAATTCCAGCCACTAAATTTGAAAGCCTTTAAAAGGAATACATTGACAGCTGTAGGGTGAACCATCTACAATTGATTAATGCATCACTTTTGAAAATCCACAAAAAATTTGAAGTACTTCACAGAACAAAAATACTGTTAATTACATGTTTTATTTAAGGCACATATATCTCATTCTACATTTGTTTCCTCCCCAGAGTCACAGCACTATCTTAGACAAGGAAGGAAAAACAGAAGTAAAAATCCCTAGCTTGAGGTCCACTTGTAAAAAGTGCTGATGGGTAGTATCTAGGTCAGGTGAAGGAGAATCTGCTATCAGAGAAAAAAAAAAAATCTTCATACAGAAATACAACCAAAGGGAAAATTAATTATCGAAGGACAAGGTAATTGTTGCTTTTGATAGTAAATCTGTTGGTATATAAAGCATCCAATGACATAGCTAATTATTTGTCCTGAAATGAGTTTCTGAAAACAAAATGGGACAGACTTGAAACAGGTCTGCCTTTGGATGTGCACAGCTGTCTCTTTAGAAATGAGCAGGCTGAAATCCTACCTGTGTCTCAGTGGAAAAAGGAAAAGCTAAATAAGGTCTATAGATAGTTTACAAAATAGATAAACCATAAAGGAATATGAACAGAATGAATAATGCTTTTCACACGTTAAATAGGATGTTAATGTCTGTCTTTAGACACAGCAGTTAAATAGCATTAACATACAGGTAATCCCAACTATTTTTGTAGTTAAAAATATATATATATATATATCTGCAAGCCTAATCTTTCTTCCTGTCCCTTGGTAGCCCTCCAAGTAGCAAAGCACTGGCTTTGATAAAGAAATCCATCAGACTCTGAAACTTTGGGTTTCATTTTCCCAGCTTACAGTGAATCACTCTTACATTGATCTCTTGGCTGCTGCCTCACGTTGTCAAGCACACTTGCATTTTACTTTTGAAACTCACATTCTTTAAGATTCACTAGCAACCTATGAACTATAGCACCAACATGGGAGTCACAGAACTTGAGCCTTATAGTGATGTAGAAAATACAGCATATTGAATACTGACGGGTATCATTATCAGAAAGCTTTTCAAGTTATACAGTGATACTTAAATAGTGTTATATTCAGATATTGAGGCAGATGAAACTGCTGCAGGAGAGGAAGAAAGAGGATACAGGATCTCTGGATCAATCTAGACAGGGGAAGAATAAAATGGTATAAACAGTAGATGAAAGATGCATTGGAAGACAAAAATATTTATTGGATACAAATAGCTTCTTGGCACTAGAAAGATAATAATACTAGTCAGCAACTGTAGGCTGGAGAGAGGATGGTATGCACCATTCTTTGGGCATCATAACTGTACATATTTATATTCATCTTTTGCCCACTTTCTTCTTAGCAGGATTTGGCTACATAGTAGCAAGAGTCAGAATGCAAGTACAAAATGAGAGAATACCAGAGTAACATGAGTGCCCAGAACAAGGGCATTTTCAACATGTTCTTGGAGGGGACATATATATCTTTATATTTCATTGAACCAGTCAGCTCACTGCTATCCAAATATTTTAACATTTTATGGGTTACAGAAATATAGTATTGTTTAACTTTTATAAAAATCATAGAAACAAGCCTATCAAATCAGGTACAAGGTTTAGTACTGATGCACAGAATGTGCAAGAATACAAATGAAAAACAAAACCCTGAATATACAGGTTATACCTGAAAGCTGCACATAGATACGACAATACAATATCATTACATATGCATTTACATACAGGGTTTTCATCCATAATGAGAAATGATTGCTTTGACCTGTGATAATACCAGAAAAGTTTTAAAGGTTCAGAGTACATTCAAAATCTACGTTTTTATTTATTTTATTTTATTTATTTTTTTTTAATTTAAGGGATGAAAATTCAGGTCGTCTATTTTACTTCAAACGTAGACATTTTGAAATTGACTGCTATTCCAATTTGCTGGAGGGCGGATGGCTGCTGTCAGTAACCATGCCACACTTGGTGAGACTGCATGGCCTGATGCCATTTACTTGTGACCCACAGTTTTGGGAACTCCTTCTGAAAGGACACCAATTCAACACAAATGTAAATACATGTTTCATGAAGTAGAAATCTGAAAGATTGTTCCATGAGTCCTTTTTACAATTCAATAGTATGACAGAGCTAACAGTGCACAAGTTGACATCTATATTCATAAGATATCAGAAAAAAAAATATTGTAATTATATGATATTTTAAATAGGAGAATTTTAATAATTTTGGTCTTGTTAGGCTGTTACGATGACTAAAAAATGTTAGTATCAAGTATTGATAAGAGCAAAGCAAAAATAATCTTTATAGTGTTTTCAAAGGAACATAGATAGTAGTTACTGGATTTTTCAGTCTCTCACCTTGCTCATCTATGAAATTTTTCAAGTATGCTATTTTCTAATTCAACAGGATGTAAATTAATCTTGAATATCCACAAAATAACATTTTTTGTATCTTCCACTCATCATGATGTCCTGATAAATTAGACTATTTTTAATTATCCCATGAAATCTGGCATTGGAAAGGTAAGTGAAAAGCATGCGAGGGCAGAAGAGGTGGTGGAAGTGCAAAACAAAATGTTTCCTCTCTTGTACAGCTTCTCCTAGTTACTGTTTAAGCACTGCAGGCCAGTTGTAGAGTAGCAACACTGCTACTGTCTCCAGTATCCCCCACTTTGCTGTGTTTATGGATCTGAGGTAAGTCTGTATCATATAAGGACCAAATGACTGCAGAGTGCCTAGGATACCAACCAAGACTGAAGACAATAGAGCTCATTGAATTCCTGAAAGGCAACAGCAAATCTAGCAGGTATTAATGATCTAGGCTATTGCAATAGCTGGCCACAGCCTGCCTCAGCATCTAACTGCTGAATAAAAAGCAGCAGCCACAGCAGCAGACGCGCAGGTTTAGAGGGACAGAAGCCAGAGAAGGAAGCAAAACTAAGAGACAGCAACAGTAAGACAAAGTACATATAAACTTTTAATGAATTAACCTTACAAAAGACAATAGCTTCAAAACATTTGACACGTTTGTACAAAACTAATCCAGCATCGTTAGTTCTCTTCAGAAAGAATGCCAGCAAGCCACCCAACGTGTCCCTGGCTATGAGATGTAACTGGTGATCACATCCAAATCATGTGTGAACTGAGTAAACTTATTTACAAATACTGTATGCTCTAATACCAGATTAGTGGATGCTATTGGGGAGCGACTGTATTTTCCAGAAAACACCATGCATCGGGAAATAGTATGCACCCCTAGCTTTATTGCCTTTTTTCCCCACATTTGTCACCAACATCTCTTTTTAGTCCTTTCAGGATGAGTTACCTCTTTTTAATTCCCATTCCTTCTTTTCTTGTCTCGGAATAACAGTGCAAGTTGCAGTACAATCTTCCAGTCCTACAGCGTACATCACAACTGTCCTTGAACATAGGAATATCAAGGTGCAAAATGATGGCTCATGAGACTATTCTGCAGCCATATTAAAATAAGTGCCACATATCAGAAAATAGCACGCATGTTAAGGGCCAAAATGTAGTTAAAAAGTGCGTGATACTTTCCTGAAAATATGGTATTGATGACATGTACAAGCATTCTTCAAGATGCCACATTCCCTTGTGAAAGGGACCTTGTCATTTCAGTATGTACAAAGTATGTCTTCAGTTCTCCTTTTCCTTTTACATTTATTATTCCTCTGCAAGTGCTCATGTATCCCAATGTTTGCAGGACATTGTTCGTCTCTTCTGTAACCTGCAACAAGACAATAACAAAACGAACACTGACAAAAGAGCAAAGCAGAATCTTCTTCCAGAGAACATCTGTGCTGAGTGATTGCAAGGGTTTTGCTATAATACTTATAAGCCCTTCAAAGGACTCAGACTAGATTTGAGCACCTGAGCTTTTAAATAGTCTGTTGCTGGCTGCCCAACCTAATCACATAAATGAAGTATTAAATTCAGTGTAATCATTTTTGTACCTAGGACCATAGACAGAGGGCTTGTGGATACAGAAAGAACATTGCTCATCCTCACACACCATTTTCCTCAGCTTCAAGAGCTGTTTTTTATTTCAGAATACCCACCTTCCCCATCTTTTTGTGCAAACTAAAGCAGCATGAATGAAGTGATCGTAAGACATTAGCGTCATCTGTCAGAGCTGCTGTTGGCAGTTTCCCACATAACTGGCTGTGAACCAAACTTGAAGCAGTTCTGCCATTTTAGGTGTAAGCCTGCTAGGGCAGAGGTTGTTCAACAGCATCAGCTTTCTCAGACTAGCCACATTTCTTTGTGAAGCAAACAAGTGTAGATATCATGCTTTGAAATGCCTCCTGTTTTCAGTTTCGGCCAGCAGCTCTACTTTTGCATTATTTACTTCTGAATAGTCTCAACCAGAGATTCTGAGTGGTCTCAGTCACATACACAATGGGAACCCCAAGTGCTATGCAACATACCAGGCAGAAATTTAAAATAGGATCCCTGAATACGAAATCACTGGAAAATTAGCTAATTGAAGGTCTTTCCTACACAACTCTGTCTCCAGTCTATATAGATAATCATAGAATCACTTAGGTTGGAAAGTCATCCAAGGTCATCAAGTCAACCATTAACCTTGCAATAATAATTTATGAAGATTATTATTCTATATGTTTCAACGAAATAAATGCTTCATCATTGCTTTACGGATTTAATTTGACATACTGCAGTTATGGACATTTCCTTTATTTAGAAATAATTAACATCAGGAAAGCCCTTCAGGGATAATGTAGCTAATATTTTATGAGTTTAGAAATGTATAGAATACAAATGTGATTTCCCCCAAATCCTCTCTTAATGTGGTGCTGCATTTCCAGGCAAAACATTGTATTCTTCTGTAGCATGAACACAAAGTTTTGATTCTTCGCACATATTTCCCCATACTATTTCTTTTAATACTTTATGTTCCTGCCCATGGTTTAATTCTTTTTAAATGTACGGACAACTGGTAGGTCTTTTGTTCTGTAGGCAACCTCAGCTCCAAAACCACAGACCTCTTTAATGTACAAATGTATTTTTTAAGCACCATACCCAAAGAATTAAGATAAATAGCAGCATGAAACAAGAGTACCTGTATTTTATCTAAGACACCAGTGCTGTCCATCCTGCTGGCCACATTTACTGTATTGCCCCAGATATCATATTGTGGTTTTTGAGCTCCAATTACTCCAGCTATTACAGGTCCATGGTTAATACCTGAAAAACATCAGAACATAATATTAAGAAGATACACCCAATGAGGACAAGTATTGCACCCGGTAACATAACAAGTCACTAAGCATGCTATTTGGTCTGTGTTGACTAGTGGGTACAGCCTGTTCACATTCCCTTACAATAAGAGGATGGTATTTATAAAAATGCCAAAAGATAGTTAGTCTAATTTTAGTTTTACAACTCCCTCTCATCCTGAATAATTTTGATATTTTTAACTATTATTATCCTAATAACCTGCTACTGCCATTGATACATAGCACGAGAAACACAGTGTAGGAAGAACAGCTTCCTTTGGGAATCACAATTCTTATTATTCTTCTTATTTCTACTTTCAGTGAAAGACTTCTCCTCTCTGTAATAACTGATGGCCAAATCAAATGAATTATTTTCATTTTTCATTTTCATTCTTAAATGTAGAATAAATTAATATGAATGAATTGCAAGGATTTGAATCCTTGTTCTGAAGGCTGGATTGCCTATAATATGGTCCTAAAGAGTTATACTATAAGTATATATATTCCTATCTTTTGCTTAAGTATGGAATAAGAGTAACAAATTGCTAGTTCTGAAATGCAGATGGTAAGAGTGAAGAACAACATAGTATAGACCCCCTTAGACTCTGAGCATGTTTTATTTTGCAGTGAGTTTCCATTCTATGTTACGTTTGTAAAGGGAGTGAGTTGTACTCTGCTAGTAGGGAAGGAAACAAGGAGGCAAAATCAAAAGCACTACCCTTAACCAGCATCAAATCTGCTATAATTGAAACTACACTTACTGACGAGCAGGAAAGACAACTTATACCCAGTGAGAAATGTACCCTGCGATAGCGAACAGTTTGGATTTCTACAACTAACCCTAAATCAAAAGATCGTAACTGACTTATATTTATTCTCTGACAGAAACCATCACTAGGGATATATCTAGGCAGCAAAATAGAATTGTGATTGTAGCATGGGAAGGCATCTTAGAGCTAGCTCATCTATTATGGATCACATATAGCAGGGCAGCATGGGCTAGCAACCAGGCCATACACCCACCAGAAAACCCTCAAAAAGTTCTATAGGAGTTAAATCTAGAAAATTAGGAAAATATGCAAACCCTAAAGGATATCAGATAAAAACCTGATAAATATTTGTCTAAGGAACCGGGATTAACTCATGAAGAGTCTTAGGCCTTGCAACACCCTGCACTAACTCCCAAGTCATAGGTGGGTCTTTCTGTTTCTTAATAACCAAAGCACAGAAGGCATTATGGACTTAAGAGTGCAATCCACAAAAGCTATCTGCTGAGTAGCTCAAGATAGTTTGCAGGGAATACTGAAGAGATGTGTGTAGTATACACTCTGCCGTGGTCCAGAAATGAAGAGCATGCAGTGGAACCTTCCCACAGAATATACTGGGAAGGAGATGAGGGTTTTTGTTTATTTTTAATTTCCTGAACCAACACTAAGTAATGTCCTCAGGGACTGGAGAACAAGGTTCAGATCCCTCCTTCTTCAAGAAGACTTCTACCCATATCTCTTAGGAATGTGTTTTGGCCATCAAGACAGTCTGAGATGTGCTGCTCTAAGTGACTCCTGCTCTTTTACTCCAGTTCTCTTTTGCATGACACATAAATGTGTATTGGGGCAAGGCAGGAACAGCATCCATCTCATCCAGGTGAATTCTTTAACAGAGGATGATACTGTCTTGTTTTCTCATGCCCAGTGGGACGTTTAATTATTCTATGAAAATGGAAATATTATTCAGCAAACACTGACAAAAAGTATCCAACTTGGAAGCATCCTACACCTTGGACTCATGGCATCCTCCAGGGAACAGAGATCCCTATGCTTGAACAGCTTCAGCCAAAAGCAGGAACAAAATCAAGTTCAACCACAACATAGACAAATGTTCTAACCATGAAGCTATATGGAAAACAACATGTCAGACTCTATTCTGGTCTGAAAAATAAAAGTAGCACCTCTGCAAAACTTTCTGCAAAAACATATCTGAGCTTGTCTAATAAATCAAGCACCTTAGCTAACATAACAGGAGAAATGCCTGAAATATAGTCTAGGTGCTCTCTTGCCTGACAACATCGGGGTAAGCTGTGTGCCTCCTAAGGCACAGCTAGCATTTCAGGCACTTACAGCAAAATGAAGGTTGAAAGCTGAGACCTCTGGTGAGCTGCAACAATTCTAGGGTTAGATGCTAGCTGAGGAAGGCTTTTACAAATGGTATATTGGGTTTAAATCCCTTAAGTGCCAATTATGTAGTGAGGGGAAGATGCTCAAATGTTTCTGTGGCTCTAATTCCTATGTATATCAGATGCTTTCATAGTCAGCTGGTGGTGGGAAGTGGATCTGAAGATCTCAGTGGTGCCTATACTGGATTAAGGTGTCAAAGTGACAGTTTGGGGCCTGTGTCCCTCTGGAGATTTAATCTTTCTTTTTTTTTTTTCTTTCTGCCCATTCTAAACATGTATCACTCCTTTGTTTTTTCTGCCAAAACATCTTGCCTCATAATTCCTAGTTAAAAAGAGTTATTGCTATAACCAGTTTGTGGATTTAGCACCGATACTCAGCAGCTCTTTATCTCTACTGACATTGCTGATAAAAGTATGTTTGCAAGTACGTGACATGTGTCATCTACAGCAAGAAGAGAACTTTTATTCTGCACAGAAATATGGTATCTCTACACATTTTTTTTATAAACTCATCAAGTTCTGTAACACATCGAGAAGGAGGCATACTTCAGATTTGCTTTGTCATTTTTTTTAACTATGGCAAGGAACACAAAACAAAGAAGCAAAGAAGCGCCTTAAGGAACACATGAATATTTAAGGTCAGAAAATAGCAAGCTTTGCCAGTGGGTGGCACTGTGAAATAAACATGAGAGGAGCAATTGAAAGGAAAAGCAAGCTTCCCAGCAAGAAAAAGACAAGAAGGGAGAACAACCAACGGAAAGCAAATACTGCAGACATGTTTCCAAGATTTATAGGTTTCCAATATTAATTTAATGCTTTCATTTCACATTTTCCAAGTCACAGATTGCATTGTTAAGCTGCTGTGTACTGCTATCAGGAATTAAACATTTTGGAACACAAAGTTCTTGACCAGCTCTGAATTCATTTATCTCATCATCATGGCGCACCACAACTGTGTATTTTTTCAAAAATACCATGATGAACAAAGAGAAGCAATTAGAAGGTGAAATATAACTGATACCCCTAACAAATATAAATAACTAGTCATTTTTGCTCTTATTTGTCAATAATCACAGAATAACAAAGCAGAGAAATATCCTCATTTGGTTAACACGAGGAAGGGAAGCAGTTTTGTATGCTTGCTTGATTTAGTACATCTGAAATATTTCAAACTCCAGCCTCACTGGCTCCTTGTAGGTACTGTCTTTCAAAGCTATTCATACGGTTTTGTAAAGCCCTGTCTAAAGTCTCCTTTGGTACTGAGAAGCTTAAAAAAATTACACGGTTAACAACCTCTCTAACAAATACTATAGAGCTACCATAAAACCATTCAGACCCCTGAGACTGTATTTTCTTTATTAAGTAATACTGCCCTGTTGGACAGTTCTACTAATACTTTAATCGGCTTGAACATTATGCTGAATTCTCCCCTTCCTCCAGGACATGATCATAAAAATCATGTAATACATACCTACTCGTAACTTGAAGTCATTGAATGAATGCTTGTTTATGACATCCAGTTTTGCCACTAGGGCAAATGCAAACTCCACCATGGTTCCTATGTGCATATACTGTCGTTCAGGTTCCTGAATTGCCAAACAGAATAAAATCATTTTCCTTAGCCTTAGTTACTGTGAGAACATAGCCAAAATATGCTGAATCTGAAAGCACTTAAACCCTCAGGGATATCCTAATGCCAGCAGGCTGCAGCAGAAAAGTAATGTAAGAAGATTATGTCCTGTCCAGCATCACTTAGATCAAACAATGGCCAATGGACCATGATGCATTTCACTTACATGATCAATCAGTCTAGAGATGAGAGATCCAAAAAATGCATAATCTAACCTTCTGACTGTCAAACAACTGATGAGCTGCTGTCTAGTCCCACTGGCACTCACTGCCTATGTGTGCCTAGGATTTGCTTATTAATCTTCTCTGAGTGTCTGCTTTTGTTTTATGTCCCTTAATAATAATTAATGCTTGTGGGCAGCCTCACAGAGAAGCCTCTCTCTCAGTGTTGCATATCCCAGAACCCGAGTGCTAGGTGCTTAAAGCAGCTAACTTAAGCTCCAGTGAGATTTAGTTTTAAGACTTTCTCTACTGATTTCATCTGGCAGATAACCAAGCATCTCTGAGAACATCTAATAGACCTGAAAATGAACAAAATGCAGGACAAATGAAGTGAGCAGACGACCCACTCCCCGTCCACTAATTTACTATCTCACTGTTTACATGAGTTACTAAGGCTATAGACTTAATGTCTTCTTGTACATCGACAGCATAGACTGATTCCTAAGTACTGGTTTGAGCCCCCCCAGGCTAAGGAGAGAATTGATTTTCAGGCTTCCACAGCCCAGGGTAGGACCTTGACAGAGAATGATTTCTTAAGAGGTAGGCTTATGGGTCTCTATGAGAAATGACTGAATCTTCCTCATCTTTTGAGATAAAGTGACGGAACAAATGGACAGATGACAACTTTGTGAGATGATTCATAAAGTAGATATATCTGCCTAGGTGGGACAGTAGTGGCACTTGCCAGAGCAGTTGTTTAGATCAATGAAGCCTTTCTGTTTCCTTTGGAGTTCAAATCTAGCTAAGACAGATTGTTTTTCAACTCAGCTTATGTATTCAGACTCCATCTTTAGTCATTTAGCTTTCCCTGGGTGCTGCGCCCAGGAGCATGCCTAGCAGTCAGTCATTGCTGCACTAGGTACTGCAGTACCTGTGGATCTTGCAGCATCTGAACTGAAGACCTCTAAGTTTTGGTGGATTTCAGAATGTGTATTAAATCACTGAAGGAACAGTAAGACTCGGATCTCCTGGTTAACTTTGTGGAAATAACTCAAACAATACACTTCTTCCAGTGTAAGCAGTGGTTGAGAACTCCTCTAAGTCTTCTCATCTCTAGTCCTGCATTTCCTTCATCGCCTTCACCTCCCTGAATTGAATGTCAGAGCTAATTTAAAATTATTCTATTTTGTCCTTAGGATTCTTAGGGTCTATAGTTCAGGTGTTAATTGCTTCTCTCTAGAAACAACATGAATTTGTCAGAAGTACAATTAATCCTTAGCAGAAAATGCACTGATTCATAATTGCTGTGCCTCTGTTGCTAACCTGGAGTACTCTAAAGATCATGGCAAAACCAAGGACTTTGCTTCAAAGTTATGAATTGCTTCTCTGAACTTCCTTTCTACTGACTGCAGTTCCCAATGCTACCCTATTAAACCAATCAGAAACAAAGAAACCCATTTTCAGTGACGAGCCCGGAGGTTCTTTAATTGTATGGTTAATACAGCCACCCTGCACTCACAATTTACAATCGTCTCACAATACTGATTCCTACAGTCTTCTTAGGACTCCATAAATCCAATTACTTCTGCTGCAGCATGTAGCAATAAAATGAGGTATTGTATTTAGAGTAGAAGGCTGAATTTAGACTTAGAAGTGGCATTTTCAAACTGCAATGTGAAGAACAATAATTCACAGAGATGCTAAATAAAAGTATATACTTGCCCAGTACAATACAATCTACATTAAGAAGAAAAAAATAGGTCACAATGTTATATGTAGCATGCAGTTTAATGAACAGAATTTTAGGCTTCATTTGAAAATTATTTTCATTGAGCAAGAACCTTTTTTTTATACCTGACACTGTTCTTGGTTGGGTGTAGCACTCAGTCCCGTTGCTGCCATGTAAGTGCTCCCAATGGTCTTTATCTTTTCAACTCCACTGAACTTTGGCTTAGACAATAGCTGTAAAACAAGAATAGTTATTTATTATTGAGATCAGCAGCCTTCATACTCTAATAGCTTGTTCCTCTCACAGCATTCAGAGCATCAGTTCTTAGAACTGTCTCTTAATACACCCCAAATGGTTTTACAAATATATACAGGATGAAGGACTTAAGGGTGGATAAAACAATGGATACAATAACTGTTCCTAAGGAAAGGGAATTTATGTCTGCTAAAATATATTTTATTATATAGAAACTAAAATTATTAGTAATGAGATCAATTTCCACCTTACTGTGCATTAGGGTCTCATTAGGGTCTTTTTAACTTAGTTAACTCAGTCCACTTTTAGTCATTGGACTTTGCATTCATTTGATATTGGAACTGAGTCAACATGTGAGCTAACGCTTAAGCTTTATGCAGCTTTCCAAAAGACAGCATCTCTTCAGGATGGGATGGTAGGAATTCTAGTTTGTAACACAGGTTGTTTTGAACACTCCAAAGTTATCCAAGTGGGTATGCTGCTAAAATTCCCTCTACAGTTGCACAAATCCAAATCCAGACTGTGCTGTCTGAGTCATGACACAGTCTTAACACATTCTTTGGGTATCTTCATCACCAACTTTTTTTTAAGACAAATACAGTTCTCAGTGAGACCTTTACAGATGCTTTTTCACAATCTATCTATAGTCATACACTCTGCACTTGCTTGTAAATTAAGAGAATGTTAAAACATTCCCACTACTTATAAATCAACTGGTGCTGTATAACCAAAACAATGCAGGTCATAGAATCACAGAACACCTCAAGTTGGAAGAGAATTCAAGAACCACTGAGTGCAACTCCAGGCTCCACACAGGACCACCCGAAAATCAGAACATGGGTCTGAGAGTGTTGTCCAAACACTTCCTGAGCTCCATCAGGCTCGGTGCCGTGACCACATCTCTGGGCAGCCTGTCCCAGTTCCTGATCACCTCTGGGTGCAGAACCTTTCCCTAACCCCCAGCCTGACCCTCCCCTGTCCCAGCTCCATGCCGTTCCCTCGGGTCCTGTCGCTGTCCCCAGAGAGCAGAGCTCAGCGCCTGCCCCTCTGCTCCCCTCGTGAGGGAGCTGCAGGCCGCCATGAGGCCTCCCCTCAGCCTGCTCTGCTCTGGGCTGAGCAAACCAAGGAACCTCAGCTGCTCCTCATACATCTTCTCCTCTAGACCCTTCATCATCTGTTGCCCTCCTTTAAATTAAATTAAAGACTCTTTAATAGTTTTATGTCCTTATGATCAAGTATAACACAGAGCTGTAAAAATTTAGGGCACAGACTTAGGTACTTTACTTTAGGCATTAGTATTTGGAAACTAGAGTTAGTGGTTGACTCATGAACCGCAACTAAAGGGCAGAATTTCTCCATCAGATATATGCATAGGATTCTCCTTGAAGGGAATGAAAAGCAACTAGTGTGGTGTCAGTATGATTTATCCCACATAAATCACTTTTTCCTTTAATACTCCCTGTAAGTAATTTCTACATGACTGGGCACACAAAAGTTCTTTTCTGACAGCTCTTCTGCTCTCCTTTTCAAATACGTTTGCTTACTGTTGCATACCCTGGATTATTAAATTGAAACCATATGTTGATTGTTGTTAGAAGTACATACATCATCGAAGTCAGCAATGATCTCATTTAGCAGCCTGAGACATTCCAAGCCTTCCTTATTTACATCAGATTCTGTGTAAAATTCCTTGAAATCCGGAATAGAGGCAAACATGACACAGACACAGTCATATGACTGATGATACAGATCCTGTCCAAAAGAAAACAGAAGAGAGAAAAAAACACACTCTGTCATACCCAGCACTAAACAAAAGTTTCCAAAATAAACTTATGTGGTGTCCTGGTTCTGAAAAGGGAGGTGGTGGAGCCTTAAGGCAGTGTTCAGATATTTTTGCATTTAGTTGTATTTATTGTTTTTTAAACAGTGTATAAACCTGTTTATTAAACAGCCTCAACATAGTCAGCTGAAAATGTTCTAGTGATTTAATGTTACCCCTTTATTCTCCTGAACATTAGCTTAGGAAACATAAAATGTTCACTAATTTAGTAGATAGGGCCCACTTCTGAGGCTTCGCATGCAGAGAATTTCTTTTTGCTTGCACGGCTGAGAGCACATTTTCCAAAACAATCTTTAATTTATTATTAGCTGTATTATTATAATGACTAGAAACGACTAGAAAACTGAAGCAAAATCACAACCCCAATGTTACAAATGCATAATGCGACACAATCCTGATAGTTCCTAATCTAAAATGACAAGACGCCTAATAGGACAAAATAAATGTCATTTCTTTTCCATAACAAGGAGCTGAGGCAAAGATAAATAAGTCACCTGAACTTAAAATTACTTATGTCAGATTCTCTACTGCCTTCTGTGACCACTGAAATGAGAGTACATCTGCTCCACAGGAAGCCCCTGGTGCTAAAAAATGACCACCCCCCACGTCTCTTCAGTTTCATCTCCAATGCCCTTAATCATTAGAATATCTCTCCTTTCAGGACATATTTATGTCCTGAAAAAAAAAAAAAAGAATATTTATCAAATTAATGTTTTTTTTTGTTTGTTTGTTTTTTTAAAGTATAGAAATACATACACAAAGTTAACCACAGCAATAAGAGATGTAAGCTAGTATAAAGCCAAATCCTGCTCAAGGTATTTGAGTGGAGCATGGATTTCAATACTCTAGTGAATAAGGTGATTCTGTGAATTTTTGATTCTGTGATTTCAAAAAGGATCAGATATTATTTCCCTTGTTACCTTGTTATTTATCCATTTATCCAAGGTTGTGGTTTTTTTTGTTTTTTGTTTTTTTTTCCTTTTCAATTCCACTTGCAGTATGTTTTTCTCTTTTTAAAGAATCTCAAAGTAAACCATGCCCATACTCCCCAAATATTCAGTCTTTGCGGCCTGCATTTTGTTTCACATCTATCTATTTCAAATTTATCTCAGGCATGTCTAGGCTGAAGTTACAGTAACATTTGCTTACAAATATTCTAAAAACATAAGATCTGACATGCTGAGTGCTCTCCATAGACCAGTTAGCAGAAAAGGCACAGAGATTACATTCTGTGGTTTATATTGGTTCTGCGTCTATCTCCTCAAGTCACCCTCTCAGTAACTTGACTTCATTGGTGGATGAAGGAATTCAGGCCACACACATGCTGCAGGCTTTTAAAATAGGGAAGGGGCTGCAAAAAAAAAAGTTATATATATAGGGCTTGGTAATGGAAGGAGAAATTCACAGTGTTATATAGAAGACTGGAGAGAGAGAGGAGTATTTATTTCAGAATGTAGGTAACTAGCTTTCAAAACGTGGATTATTACACCTACTTTTGAAACTTGACCTGACAAAATAAACAATCTGTATACATCTGTGATGAAATATTTTTTCACAAAAAAAGAAAATGTTCATATTCCTACCAGCTAAACAAACCCAGTAAGTTAAACCCAGCCAAATTAATAATACTGTTGTAAATAATACTAACACACAATTCTATTATCCTAGGGATTCTGTGACATTAGTAGTTAATTAGTAACAAAAGGCTGTTTTAATTTCCAAGATTAACATTAGATAGCAGCTTTCTGTTTTATTTACTTTATTGAACCCTGCATCCTGAGGAAGTAAAAACCAACAGAATTGCTTATGAGATATTAGTTGTAAAGTTTGTGAAAAAGACAAAATCTCGTCACAGAGCTGACAGTGAGGCACTGCCATATCTGAAATAGTACATGGAAATACCATGTACAGGTTTATTTGAGAATATAAATTCAAGTCATAAGGATTCATGTCTGCTAGGTGCTACAACTGAACCCTTAGAGAAAAAGAAAACTAACTGCACAGGGACATGACAGAGGAATACATATTACTGAATAATATGAAGTCTAGATGGTAGAAGATGGGATTCTTTTTACCACCTCATAATACAGGAACCAGAAGACAAATAGGACTATTTGGAAATAGAACATGGAAAAAGTATTTTACATGTGTGAGATATAAATGTATAGCTCAATGCTATTCAACTACATGAAAGACAAGAGCTTAGGGGGTTAGAAACCTTAACTCTTGTGGAAATACTAGAAAAATACATAACTAGGAAGTATATAAAAACATTTGAAAGAAAAATTGCCATCAAATTTACAGGCAAAAGCAAACCAGGTGAATACCACATTAATATGCAGCTGCTCCTACAACTGCTGAAGTAGCCTGCACAGGGCCATGCAGGTGACTGAATGGCAACTCACGTCTTATTATTTCCACTGAAAAAACTGCTGTCACTGAAAGCAGAAGTGTCACCCAGAAATAATCATGGTAACGTGTACAATGCACAGTCATAAGGAAGAGGATATGACTAAGCAAAAAAAAACCAGGAGCAGTAATTCAAATAAACTGCTGTTGTGACACAGAAAGTGTCAGTGTGCTCTATGCTGTTGGCTGTCCATGCAGTGGGGACAAACAGCCTGTAAAAAAGGGTTGCATGCCTGAGTGTTACATTTAGAAACTCAAATCTATAACCAGAGTTATTACTCTTTCCTCATCTCCATCTCAAAAACAAATACAGAAAATTGTATGTGAACACCTGTCATGCTGAAGCTCAGCAGCAGTGTCCCATTTGTCCTCCTTCCTCTCTCAACAAGGAGCAATATCCATCCCTACTAATGCTGTATAACACAGTACCAGCACAGAAACAACAAATAGCACTGTTTATAGCCATGAGTAGTAATTGTGACGGTCACAATAAATGTCAAGCAATTTTAAATAGGCATTCCCAGATAGTTTATTGCAATCATTCATAATAATAAAGGCTGTGGCAATCAGGTGTCTTAATTTTCCTATGAGTACTTCTCTTGAAAGAGTACTCTCCAAAATGTTTAATCAGAAAATTAAATGCAGCACCATTCCAGGAAGGAATGGCTTTATTTCAACAAAAATAAAATCATTCTCTTCCACAGTCAATCCTTTTTTTTATCGTTCCTTTTATAACATCTGAATTTCTGCTGGTGGGCCTTCCTTACTGTCCCCTCTTTTCCAGTGCCTAGAGACCTTCTCAGGATGAAGGAGGCTAACTGGTCCCCATTCCATGGCTCATGAAAGGCTACAGAGGTCGGCTACTCTGGGGCACAATTTCTGCTGGCTCTTTCCGGCAGCTAATGAAACAGGGTTCCTCTTGCTAGGTATTCAGCTCAATAATGTGCCTGAAAGTTAGCTTGCAGCACAAATGCTCCTGGGTACTTCTTAGTCATAGGGAAGCTGGATGCTAACAGCACAAAGGAGTAGGGTGCAGAGGTCAGTCACAGAAGATATATCTAATCCTGGCCCCATTTCCTGCTTTTCATTTTATATTTGTTCTTCTGTCTCTCAACTAGAAAGTATCCTACCTGGTACCCAGCATACAGACTATAAGCAGAAACACAGTTCTGGAGTCTCTGGTAGAGCAAACAGACTTTTATTACATTTGCCTGCTTTGAAATAATTTTGCTTCTACCATATCAGCATTAGTCAACATGTGTCCTGTAATGAAAAGACCTTTGTTGGCCTTTTAAAAGTACAGTCCCACTGCTCCCAGTTAGCATTCATCCACACATTTTTTCCGTTTCATTCCTGCTGCATTCATTCAGCAGCATACTTAGTCTTCCCTTTCCTTCATACAGCTGCATGCACAAAACTCTAGGATGGCAAGTAGTATTCAGAAACAGACTATTCATCCATTAGGTTAATCTTCATCTCAAAATCTTCAGTAGAAAAGAATATACATAAACATACTAACATGACTGTTTGCCACTAGGGAAGACAAAGGAATTTTATTTCACTATCTAATTACCTAAATATCCACAGAAAGAAAGTAAAGGTTTGATCTGTTCCAACATATTTTGAGGTGTATAAGCATACACATATACACAATATTCTTTACGGCTTGATACATCCTTGCAGATGCTGAAACAAATCTGAAGACATGCCAGATGCTTGTTTTTGTGAACATTTCCAAGAATTTGAAAGGTTCTTGCCTCTCTGAAAACTGTGTTTAAAGACAAACAACGCAAAAAACAAAACAAACAAACAAACAAAAACCAAAACCTCAAGATTGTTGGATTTTTACTTTTTTTTTTTTTTTTTTTTTTTTTTAAAGGGATGCCACTAAAATGGTATCAAACCATTCTTTCTTCAGCCGACGTGATAGACTGGAGAGATCAGCACACTACAATTTCTCATCTTCACTAAATTTACTAAAGCTCATTCCAACCCAAGAATCTTGAGGGGTGACAATATAAATCCAGCTGCCAATACAAGGGTGAGCAGATGGTGCTGCTCTGCTGGGGAGCTGAGATGGAATAGCACATAAATGAGAAAGCAATCTCCTGACGGTTTGCTGTGTTTAATGCCTGAGCTAAACTGGAGCTGAGCCAGCTTGGTTTTCAGCCAAGGTCTTCACTGGATTCAAAGGAACCCCACAGTAGTTTTCATTTGACATTAGCTACCAAACAAATATTTGCAGGTAATACTAAAGTACTGATAATAAAGTATGTTATAGTACTGCTTAATGCAAACCACAGTGAAGCCAAAGGGAAAACATTGTCCTTTTTGACTCAGAAGATCAAAATGAATTCCTAAAGCTGCCCTCTCCCCTCTTTTGTCAGTTTTGGAACTATTGTTTTGTATGCAGTTCAAACGACTGCATTTAAGATCTCTAGAAACTGCTACTCTCTCTAAATATTTTTCATTTTTTCATCCTTCTTTTCTTTATTAAAACTATAAAGCAGCATTAGAAGCAGATCTGAATTGCACTGAAGTCAACAAGGATCTTATGGATGACTTTTCTGGTGCTTGAATTAGGTCCATAAGCAGTGAGTAAACAGGTATTTCAGTGTTGAGAACCTTCTTCTAGAATTAAAATAGCCACTTTTTCACGGAACATGTTTATTTTCACTTCAGTAAGCAAGGTCTCCAGTCACCAGAAGCAAATTCAAAATGAAGATGCAGCTCCACTCTAATCACAAAGGAAAAAGTATCTGAATGCATATTAATGCATGTTGAAATAATTTCACATTTTTTATTTTAACATACTATGGTGCATTCAGTGCTATAACATAAGCTTTTCAGGAAGGTAAGGGAGAATAAAAATAACTAAATTATAATCTGACTGTACGGACCTACTGTTCAACTCAGCATTAAGTGGTATTTCTACAACATGCTGCCTTCATACAGAGCAGAGGATATGTAGAGATGTCTCACCTCATTCTTCAGATTTCTTGCCAAGAAGTGTTCAGCTACATGGGCTGGAAGCACATTCTCCAGAAGCACACGATTTAGGTTCTCCATGGTTTCAATCTCCTCCCGCTCTTTTTTGAACTTGTTCTTCCACAGGAAGTCTAACCTACAGTAATATTCATTCTGTTACAAGAGGACACAGAGGTAAAGAAACAATAGGCATCTTGTCCTGCTGGAGTACAGGTTTAAGAGACAAAATAAGCACAGTACATCACTCCTACAAGGATATTATTTGGTCACTCAAGTACAATTCCAGATCCCACAGAGATCAACAACCAGACACACAGTATGTGGCATACATTTCATTGAATTTATAACTGTTCTGCACTGTCCTCTAAAAAAAGGCTCACAAAAAAGCCCAGGAATAAACAAAAAGTTGCAAGGTGCCTTAACCAATGGAAAATTTATGTATATACTTTCAGGCTTTGGTAGAAATTCATCCCACAGATGAAATATTGTTATGGAAACAATTTACGTTTTGCAACTTAATATGATGCCTAAAATATCTGAAGTGTGGAATTCCACTTACACTAATGGGCACTTCGGGAAGACCCTAACTTTTACCAACTTTAAGTTATGTAATGCAATCAGTCTGGTAAAAATGGGGTAGTAGAGGAAAGAGAAACCTATTGCTATACTTTCAGTTCTTCATGAAACACATTTTCTCCTTCTAGTATGCATACAGCAAAAGCTTTACTGGTTTTAAAATAACAAGAGATTTTTAAATTGGAATTTTTTGAAGATTATAAGAAACGGCCCAGTCAGGTGGTTGTTTTCTTTTTGTGTTTCAAAACTGATAGTAATACTTTTATCCTTCTCTTATTTTTGTACCTGAGTTTTCATTATATAGAAATGTATAAAATTCCTGGAATATTAGTATTTTTGAAGATCCAATTTCATTAAAAAGATATTGAAAAATGAATTAAGTCACATTTTTCCAGGGCCCTCTGTATTTCTTTTCAATAATGTCAATGCTTTGTGGTAAATTCTGTGGCATTATTTCTACATTAAAGACTCCACTGGACTATCTCATTTGAGTTGATATAAATCAAGAGCTATTTCAGCGTTGTCCAGTGGTTTAACACTACTCTGCAGTCTCAATGAAGACTAAGTTATTAACAAGGAGAACATAATTGTGATCACAATCTTATGTTAAAAAAATAAAAATTCTAGCCATTATTAGTAGTAGTCAGTAACTGTTCACATAAAAACATGAGAGTAGTCCTTCTGATTGTGGTTGTTTGCTGCCACAGCTCAAAATGATTCATAGATACTTTCTTGAGATCACAGCCAAAGACAAGTAGAAAGTTGAAATGAGATGGTATTAAAATGATTTTGCAAGCCTTCAAAAAGCTATGAAGGTAAAAATTGGTGAAGCAAAAAATCCATCTGCTGAGAAACTGTAAGATGAAAAAATATTAAGAGAGAAACCATGCCTCTACTAAATGCATAGAGAGCAATGCAGTCAGGTTTCTTTAAATTGGTTGATAAGTCCTGGGTATTGTTTAGATATTTAATTAAAAACTGACCATATGATGCAAAATACATGCAGTCATTTTTTCAGAATGCCCATTTTATTTTTATATTATTATTTATATGCGCAAGTTCCACACACATTTGATAAACTTAAATGCCACCAACTGTATTCATGCAGCAAAAATCCAATAAACTATCTTGATGCAGAAAAATCCAATAAAATACTGGGATGCCAAAATTATTTGCATAAATTGTAAAAAGTAAACTGCAAGTCTGGCATAAAATCTAAATTAGGTATCCATATATTGTACCAACTTTGTATTGAAAACAAAAGGAACTAGATAAGCTGAAGTCTTCAAAATAATGTTTATTTTTAAATATCTAATATTAAACAAATAGTTTATTTACTGTTTTATTATTTATTGAAATTTAGGCTGTGAAAAAAAATGGTAAAGAGAACTCAGTAATCAGCAAAAAAGCAGAATGTACTCTACAATTTGTTTTGAAATTAAAAATGTCAAGGTATATTTCAAAATGTGTATTCAGACTTAAAAACATGTAAACACTACCTTAGTTTTTTAAAATTCTGGGTTTCTGTTTTTATGATGTACTCAATTTAGTAGACATATGTCATTAAAGAACCTATTTAAACTTTATAGCCTTAAAGTCATCTGAAAACCAAGATTGCTTCCTACTTTACATGTTATCTACAAAACCTTTGTAACATATCACCATGAAAACAGCTCAGAATGGCTCTTGTACCACAGCAGGCACAATATCGTGGAGATACAAAAACTTGCCTTCTTCACCTTACTCTATTTTACGTGACAGCAGTTCCCAGCTGGTGTGCATAGTGGAACACCCAGGGAGGGATGAAGGACACTGCATTCCTCCAGGCAGCAGAGAGCAATTGGCTTTGTTTAGGACAAGACACTGCCATGGATCTACCACATAACACCACTGACTTTGAACCAGTTGGGTGTAACGAGAACCTATCCATGTCTCATTGCTTGACTGCACAATATGTTATCTGTATTTTTAAATTCTAGTGCAACACTCACCTGGGTCTATTTTCAATACTTGCCTCAGAAAAAGGAAAAAAACTGAATGAACTTTCTCTTATCATTGCAGCAAAGTCACACAGAAAGTCAAGACAGGCAGCTCATGAGTCTTGCATGCTATTGCATTCAGCACAGGGGCAGAGTGATGGTAGCACTAAAGCAGATAAGATCACTGCAGAGAAATTAAGTGGGGGTTTTCATTCAAGTGAGGTAGTTAAGGAGACTCGCTCCATCTCACAGCCATTACTTACAGACAGTGAGTCTGAGAAACTGCCTCAGCATGGAGCAGCAGCAGAAGATGCTCCTCAGAGCACATGAATAAATGTTCTGATGTTCTCAGAGCACATGAATAAATTGATCAACAAGAAGTCACCAGCTCTAAAGTAACTGCAATGAAAAGCTGCTGGACTGAAACTTGAGGTGGGTAGCCTTATTCAAAACAGCCACAGTGTTGGAGAACTGACAAATGGCAAGGAAGCAATGCAAATCTTTGGAAAAAAAATGAGGTGCCAGTGGGAAGAATACAGCAAGATACTTTCGTAAAAGCTATGCTAAAGAAAATAACTATTTAGAGATATTAACTATAGCGTATATAACGGGGAAGAGTTGATACTGCCCCTTTAGACATGCCTCCAACTCTTCTGTTAACAGAAGCCAATGGCATGTGAACGGCAGAATCACGGAATGGTTTGGGTTGGAATGGACTTTAAGGATCACCCAATTCCAACCCCATTGCCATGGGCAGGGATGCCACCCACTAGACCAGGTTGCCCAGGGCCACATCCAGCCTGGCCTTGAACACTTCCAGGAATGCGGCATCCACAGCTTCTCTGGGCAGCCTGTGCCAGTGCCCCACCACCTTCTGAGTGAAGAATTTCTTCCTAATCTCTAATCTAAATCTCCCCTCTTTTAGTTTAAAACCATTCCATCTTGTCCTATCATTATCTGCCTGAATAAAAAGTTGCTCTCCATCTTCTTTGTAAGTTTAAAAAAGTACTGAAAGGATGCAACGAGGTCTCCCCAGAGCCTTCTGTTCTTCAGGGTGAACATCCCCAGCTCCAGTGAATAGGAGTGAACTTTTAAATAAGTGTTCATTAAGTTCTTTCAGAAAAGACTTTTTAAAAGACTACATTATGTAAGAAAAAAAAAAAATAAACCTTTCATAGAATAAAAGCTAGCTAAAAAACAGAACAGAGACTACAAATAAACAGTTTTCACAGAACAGGGAAGTTACCATAAACATCTGGGCAATAGAACAGCCAGTGAATTTCAGTGTTTATAAACTCAGTATAATAAATCATTGGAAAAACAAAATATTCACTCAACACACAGAGTATATAAAGGTATACATAATATTAGGTACAGATGAGAAAAAAAAAATCACATGCTACATCAATATTGGTAATTCAATATGGGTCATAAGAGAGGCTTAATGCTCATCAGGGCTTAAATGTGAGCACACTCCTTATGGAGCCCAGCCTATGCCACTCTGCATTTTCCATGCAGTGCCTGAGCAGGGGTAGAGAGTTTGCATTCTCGATGTATAGCCTGCGTGTTTACAGACTGTTTCAGGAACTCTGATGGCATGGCTGTAGACTGGAATGTGTCATTCAATCTCTGTGCCAGGGAATGGTTCTAACCTACACTGCTACAACCATGGAAAAAAGCAGTTCTGCTTTCTCCAGCTTCACTTCATGCTGCTCATGCCCATCCTGTGCTGATTCTTTTGGAACAAGCATGGATGCAGCCACACCATAAAACCAGATCAGGAAATGGATCTGGCTGAAAACCAACCATTTTCCAGGGTTAATTTTTAAGTCAGATCATTTCCCTATTTTGGGCCACTGTACAGTTCTGCAGACAGCTGTGCCAGCACAAATGGGGAGATACAAAGATAAGAATGAGTACTTGAGGGAAGGACTACGTCTTTCAGTAGGAATGTTGGTTATGCAGCTAAGAGTATTAATTGAACGTAAGAGTTAACTTTACTCATATAACATGTAAGGATACACCAGCTCTGCCTCCCTCCATCCCCATTCAGCCAGAGGCATGCTCCCTTTCCTGTTTTTGGATCAGCACAGGCATCTGTCTGGCCAGCAGTGAGCAGGCTCACAGGGCTGGGCTTGCAGGGAAGCACTCATTTTTTGTTTAGATGAAATTTCTGGTAACTCACTCTGGAGGCAGAGGAGCACCAGTGCAAGGATAAGGGAAGTGGAAAGAACACTGTTTTCATAAGTGGCTATTGTCTTCAGCATTGTTAAAATAAGCAGATATTATGAAATGAGAAAGGCAAAGTTATTAACTGCAAGGTCAAAAACATGTGATAGCAAACAGAGAAATGACTCGTATGTTACCCTCTGTGGAAGAAAGGTGCTGGGGTAGGAAAAGGCTCAATCAGAACTATAATAAGAGGAAGACTGCACTTGGCCATAAAAACATCTCTACTAAATCCATGATTTTTGCTATTCGTGAGAGCTGGGAACATTATTTCCCAGGTTTCTTTGTCCTTGAGAACACAAGCTGCAACGTCAGAGACTGCTGTCATTTTGTGAAAAATGTTCTTTGACTCAACATTTCTGTTTGCCTAAGTAGATGCTGGTGAGTAACGTACTGGGTTCCTCCAATTTCCATAAATACATTTGAGATGAGATGTCCAATATCTAGGGGAAAAGCATGCAGAATAAATGCCATTCATCATTTCTCCTGAAGGGAAGGTTCAAGAATGGGTAATTATTAATGTGGAAATGTAGTGTAAGATTTTGCCAACTGCTGTGCGCTTTTTTGGGTAAGGGAATTTTACTTATTCCTTATGATGAATTTGTGAAGGTTGAAAGGTTGTCTAAAATCTAAGAGGCAACAGGAATAATACAGAAAAAATCTATCCAAAAGCTTCCTATTTTTCTAATTTAACCAACCAACCTAGAAGATTTCTAAAAGATGTTGCCTTCCCTTATAAGCACTGGCCCTGTGAAACCTTTATACTATTACAGGGACAACACAGCTGTAGATATTATTAGGACTTCAGAACAGATAGAAAGCTAGAGCTTCAGAACAGATAGACAGCAACTTTCCATCACTGTCCAAATCAACAGTGTGTCCAGTGAATGCACTTCTTGCCCCTTTTTTAATAATAATAATTAAAAAAAAAAAAAGCAAGCAAACAAACAAACAAAAACACAGTAGATTGAGTAGGGTTGAGAAGAACCAAACAGTGGGCAGCTGAATGCCAAAGGTTATGGCCCATACCAGAAGCAGCAGAGAAACTGCTTGTTAGGAATTCCCTCCTCTAATCCTACTTCTTTTCACAGTAGGATTAGGACATGGACTTGGCAAAGATCCTGGCAAAGCAGGAGGAACAGGAAGGAAAACCAGGCTATTTGCTGGAAGGAGAGGCTTTTTCTCTCTGTCCTTATCCCAAGCATTTACTACCAGTCAGTGTCACTAGCAGTAACCTAAAATGGCAGGTCTTAGCTCAGGTATGTGAAAACTAGCTCATAATATTTTCCAGTTATCAATTAGACTTTGCTTGAGAATGTTTGAAAACACAGGGTTTTTTACTCCTTTTTCTATAAGGGAGAATAAATTAATAGAAAAATCAAAGGCAACAGACCGAAGAGCCATGAACAAGCAGTATCATGCTGAAGATCCTGAAGCTATAGCTCTGAAAACAAAGATTTTTGACATTAGAGGCTCATTTCTCAATAGGTGTGACAGGCAGAGAACAACATGCCATGCCCACACTGCTGCAGTATGCAAAACAGAAACCTTCTTATTGATGTGACTGAGCACACAAAGAAATCCCGAAGATGATGCTCCTTTTCTATTTTTTTCTTGACGTTGTGCCCAACCCCTTTATGTGACACCTTGGATGTCAGGGCTCCCTGGTGTGATGAAGCATTTATCTCTGTTTCCGACTGGAAGTAGCTGCGTTGCAGCCCTGCTCTCTGCTATTATCATCAAATGAGCCAATTCCAGTATGGTGCTGGTAGTAAGGTTGATGACAATTCTTATTGAAACTCAAGAATGTTCCCCTACAGCAAAAACTGGAGAAGCTGCCAGAGAGGAATTTTTTATCTAGTAACCTGAAGGGCCAGCTTGGCAATTTAAATGACAGTCATTGTGTTCCATGGAATTGTAATGTAAATGAGCGACTTAAGGACAGTATGACACAAGATCCTTCCCAAGGATCCTACCGCAGGCTATGGCTATACAGGCTGCTCTTGAGACCTCACACAGATTGCCTCTTTTATCTCAGAGCCGTGTCTTGTGCACTATCTCACTTCTGGCATGATGAGCTTCTAGCCATGGACCACAGACAGGCCCGAGGACCTGGAAAGAGAACTACCCTGACCCCTACTCTCCAGTATAAGGGTATAAGACCACCCACACCACGCTGGTACGGGAAAAAGCACAACTGGGTAATGAAAAGAGGACTTTCCTGTCAGTTAATAGTTTCAGTATGACTGTGGCCTCAGTATGTGGTACTCTTCTGTGTGCATGCTACACTGTTTCTGTGTCTGCCTCAAACGGTAATAACTGTGAAGAAAATAGCTTGTAATTAAGCAACTAGGGAGATAGCAGATGGATGCAGACAGATGGGAGCACACTAGGAAGCTATGAGACAATATTGGTCAGCATGACAAGCAATAGTCACAGTGCACTATCAGTATAATGCCTACAGTCTTCACGACAGATATTGTGGCGTTACTGGTGAGTTGTAGGGGTCTATTGGAAGGCATTAAAGGACATGATAGCATTTTAGATGCTTCTGACACTCCTTTGCAAGGGTGTGGGGCAAAAAGGAATAAAGGTGCTTGTCAGAAAACCTAAAAAATCCCCGAGAAGGTGGGAAGCTGCATGTGGAGGTTATATTGTGTCTACTGATACAGATGGAAAGAACTGAGCATCTTACCTGTCTACCCAAAACCAGTAATGTGACGAAGAATATAAACAAAGAAACTGAGCCCATTGTCTTCAGGTCTTTTAGTACTCCAGGCCTATAATATAAAAACGTAAGTAAAGCAAGCTGCTCAGAAGTTATAATTTATAATTTTGTTCTTCCATTGAATCACCTATAACAAAGACTTCAGAAGCCTCACTGAAAATTTACCATATGAATTTACATGTGCTGCAAAAAAGCATACAAAGAATAGGTTTACTTTTTTTTTTTTCAATAGCAAAGACTGCATTTCTGAAGTAATAAGACAATATATTAGTTCTGAAAAAGTTGATTTCCTTTGGCTTGCAGCAAATATTCTTTGAGAGCCTTAACAACATTCAAACCCTCATCTCCCTAGTACCCTTTCCTACAAAGAAGCAAATTAATCCATACTGTACTTCCTATAGTATGTGATATATGCACGTTGCCCAGACTTGTTTATTTTATTCTAATGCTCTCAGGCAAAACATTAAATCCTGTATTAACAGCAACACAATAATGATTTTAGTTTGTGACTTGTACAATATATAGTGAAATACATAGAAGAAAAATTGTTCTATAACATAAGAACTTCCATTGCTGATATTTCATTTACATTCATTTCCAAAGGACTGGAATCTTCAACCTACCTTTTTAGAGGTGCCATTGCGTACATAAATTTGCTGTAGTCATCCAGCATGGGCCCATGAGTGTGCAGAAGGATAACGTTGTAGCCCACCAATGCAATCAACATTATCACCATTTTCAACTCATAATTTATCCTCAGGAAAACGGAACACGAAATGAGCCCTAATATGCAGCTGTATATAAAATACTGGCAAAGGAAAATCAAGTGGTAAATATTTAGAATTGGCTGCTAAGTAGGCAATCACACATAACGAAGAGCCTAGACTAGTTTAAAAAATATATTATCTGACCACTTAAGCATGGTATCTATCACAATGTGTAAATAATCACTGTACATGGGACATTATGGTTTACAGATGGTCAATAACAATCAGATACTGGTATTTCATCAAATAGACTCCTTTTCTCATTAGGCTCAAATTCACCCTAAACTTAGGAGAATCCAGACTATCCTCCTCTTTTCTGCTTACTAATTTTCACTCTTTGTGACTTTTGATTTATTCATCTGTGTATCAGTAAGTGCCTGTGTGTGGGACACCACTGCTGGTGTGGGTCTCCTGCAAGAGGCTACTGCCAGCATAATGACAAATTTACTCCTGTGCCTCTGCATGGTTTTCACTCGTGCTTGAATACAATAACTACCCTCCATGTATTGCTGAGCATATGGGAAGATCAAAGTCAAAATGCTTGAAAATCTGTAAACAATTTAATTGCCCATTTTTGCAGTATATGTAAACTGTTGCAATACACACAGATGTTATGAACTTCACGGACTCTTGAAATATGGTTACGAAACGAAGAATATAGAGTGATTAACATGGCCTATGAATAATATGTCTATTAAAAATCCTTATGTCAAATCCTCTTGACTTATGACTACTTAAGGATACATTCAATTGTTAAAAAAAGCTTTTTCTTTCCTATGTCATATTTATAAAGAAAAATATATGGTTGAAGTTGCGTTCCTGGAAAAAGATTTTCTCTTGATACTCTCTAGAAATGGATTACAGCATCAAAATCAATGCTAAAACAGAAATAATACAGTCCCACTAGAATAATTATCTTGGTCCTTAACATAGAGCACACCTTTGCCAAAGATTGTTCCTGAAAATTACAGTCCTGCATCTTGTAAGGAAATTATCTTTTCTTAAACTACAAAGCATTCTATTTCTAGATACGTTATTTTCAGACTACTGTTGATTTGTTGATGGCAGTACTTTTGACATAACCTGAATCACTGTATACTAATTTTGGAGGATCACTAAGAGTAATTTTCTCAGTGCCCATCAGACAGAATTGATCTGCCATATAAATCTTTGTTGTTATTATAATTTCCTTGCAGATATGCCTGAAGTAAGAAATAGAAAGAACTGTTCTTCAGAAACATGAAAAATAAAATTTCTCAGATTTTAGCATTTATAAAAGTAACAGCATCCATTTTATATTCTATAGGGCAACCAACTTGTGAAACTACTTTGCCATTGAAAAAAAGCAAACTAAAGGCAGTCTCATATCTACAGTTTAACAAGGACCAAGAAATTTAGTATTCCAAGTGGAATAAAATCCCTCTTAGTGTTCCATAGGAATACATAGACCACACCGAAAATTTCAGTCAACATTTCAGATGTGGGTAGATTGGGTGATAGAACAGTGGCACAGATATATGCCAACTCTCATACTGTATATTGCAATGCAAGACTTGAGTAAGCACCAAACCCCATGCAATGCCACAGGCTTGGGGCAGAGTGGCTGGAAAGCTGTGCAGAAGAAAAGGACCTGGGGATGCTGGCTGACACTCACCTGAACATGAGCTGGCATTGCGCTCAAGTGGCCAAGAAAGCCAACAGCATCCTGGCTTGTACCAGGAATAGTGTAGCCAGCAGGAGCAGGGGGGTGATCTTCACCCTGTACTCAGCTCTGGTGAGGCCGCACCTCAGGTGCTGTGTTCAGCTTTGGGCCTCTTACTGGGACTAGTGAGAGGCCCAAAGCTGAACACAGGACATCCGGGCTCTAGAGGGTGCCCAGAGAAGGGCTATGGAGATGGTGAAGGGCCTGGACTTAAGTTGTATGAGGAGTGGCTGAGGGAACCAGGGTTGTTTAGTCTGGAGAAGAGGAGGCTCAGGGGAGACCTTATTGCTCTCTACAACTGCATGAGAGGAAGGTGTGGGGAGCTGGGGGTCAGCCTCTTCTCACAGGTAACTAGTGATAGGACTAGGGGGAATGGCCTCAAGTTGCCCAAGGGGAGGTTCAGGTTTTCTGAGAAAAGTTATTTAGGGTGTAGAAGAGGAAGAGAATAAATCAATATGCTTCTAAATGAACTATATGCTAGTGGGGCTGAAATAATTCAAAAATCTGTTATTCGCTAATTTTAGATTATGTCATTAATTGATCTGTCAGCTCCTCCATTATAAATCACAGGAAGTTTATCTACATGAGTAATGCTTAAAGGTAAGACAGATAAAAGGGGCTGATATCCAGTTAAAGAAAACAAGCATTCATCAGCCTAAATGTTCAATATCTCATTCAGTAAAGTGAGAAGAATTTTATTTTCAGGTTTTTAGAAAACTTTCAAAGGATAAAAAGCAGTAACTCAGAAGGAGTTTGCAGTTTTTTCAAGCTAGAACTGAGTAGCTCAGCAGTGCCTTATGATGAAAATAATGTGTATTTGAGAGCTATTTAATAAACAAAACAAGGGAAAAAGAATTTAAAATACTTCTGCCAATCTAAACTTTTAATTATTATCAGAAATGACAGTTTAAAATGATTGTTATGCCAGTTTATCAAAGACAAAGTTTCTTTGATGAAAGAATGCATTTTAATAGTTTCAAACTTATAAATCATTAATTTTTCTAAATGTGCTAGTAATAGGAAGAGCTGACAAGCATCTTAGTTAAAGATGAAAACACAGGAAAAAGTCACACTAAGATTTTTTTAAGGTTGAATCTAAAAATAAATATAATTCATGAAAAATGTATTATCCAGATGCTTGTTGGATAACTTAATACTAACAAAGAAAACACTATCTTTCAAGTAAGATAAAAAGGGGACCCAAGAACTGGCTAATTAAAAAAAAAATAAAAAAAAATAAACAAATACAAATATGCATAGGAACAATTTATTTCTAAGTGCTTGTGAGTATGTCCATATATAGAGGCTGGGAGAAGGACTGCATCATCTCTTTGACAACAAGGAAAACTTCATGTCAGGGCCAAGAGGGAACATAGGCATATCTGTACCAAGTTTAGTTTACTTAACTTGAAAATGAGAAATAGAAACTTGTGCTCTATTGTCATGTTATCAAAGAGATGCTGGAAGTTTGCAAGTGCTACGGTTAGCTCAATTATTATGTTTTTGTTTTCCAGAAAAGTTCTATACCTGATTAATATCACACTTTGGGGTGTGTCTAGGAGTATTTATCTTGACACAGTCAATAATTACTTTTATGTAACCTGGTCAGGTGGGAGGTGTCCCTGCCCATAGCAGTGGGCTTGGAACTGGGTGATCTTTAGGGTCCCTTCCAACACAAACCATTCTGTGATTCTGTGATTCTGTAACTATATGGAAACCAGCACACACCATCGTAGTACTGGTGCCACCAATTCTACATATAGACAAAATAATTTCCCATCTCCTATTGCTGCCTCCTGCTTTTTCATCCAAAGACTGCTGACCTATTTTGGCACAGTATGTAGCTTGTTATGTTCAGTTGCAGGTCTTTTGTAAGCCCTCTAAGAGTCATTGCTTTGTAGGATACAGATCCCATTTTTGTAGGAATGTCCTCCCTCCTCTTGCATGTGCCAGTGTGCTTTTGATCACAATAAAACATCTTATTCAGGTCAATTCGGATCTTTTTTAGACAGTTTACCTGGTGGTATACAAGTGCTGTATTTCCTCCCTCCCACCTTGCCTCTTAACCAAATACGCAATAATGACAGAAGTCTGCTGATCAGAGATCTCAATTTTACCATCAGGTGAACAATGAAAATGGTGAATATTTTCAGGCCTACCACTATTGCTTGTGAAACTTGTCTCCGGGCCAACCTTGTTCTCTCACTGACAGGCATTTGGACCTTGCTCAGTGCAGTCTGCTTTACAGTCACTCCGTGTCCTCCTGACACCTCACAACACCTTTTGGTTAGGATGAGTGAGCTATGGTTCTTATCAGGCTGTTTCCTGAATTTTAACCTGACATTCACTGAAACACCTATTTTCAGAAGTACTAACCGCCTTTCCATTCCCACTTCCTTTCAAGGCAGTTGTGGGTGACTGAATATAAAACAAGCTTTTGAAGCAGTCTTTAGAAGTGGTTGGTGTTTAACTTCCAACAGATCAAGTGACATTCAATTTAGAATAATGGTTGTAAACAAACAAAGAAATGTAAAATGAACTTACCGGTAGGAAAAAACAGTTGTTTTGTATACACCACCGTGTCTGATTACCCAAATTAGGAAAACTTGTATTTGATGAATTAAGAACTGGGGGAAAAGCTTTCACAGCATTATCCAGGAAAAACTAGAGAAAAACAACATATAATCCATTAGCTTGTCAGCTGGTTAAGGTCAAAATAGAGAAGAGGAATGGAGAAGTGGAAAAAGCCTTGCCAGTAATTATTTAACTTTGGTATTTTGCTGCAAATTGAAATAGTAAAGGGAAAATGACATCACTTTGATTACATATTCCTGCATGCTTCAGACAAAAACAACTTTGTAAACCTCCACAAGACACATCTGAATAAAAGATGAAAAGCTCTTTGTTACGTTATCTTCATATATCAGAAGCTCACACATGAGAGAGACAATGATAACATAAATTCAATATGAATAAACTTTGGTTTCACCTCAGCTGAACCTCCTATTTAAATATAGGAAGAAATAAAGAAAGAATAAGAAGTCTTTACTACAGTTGATTTACACAGGTGTAGTCCACCTAATAATTATGACAGCAAAATTGGTACAAGTCTTACTGAAACAGACAAACTGAACCAGTATCTCCTAGAGCATCAGATTCTGCCAGCTGATCTCACAAATAACCACCATTATGCAGTACCCCTTTATGTACTCTTGAAGTGAGCTCTCAATGAGTTATATTTCTCTGACAACACTAATTCCACTGCTTTGAACCTCAACACATAAACCATTTCAAAGTTCAACATCTTTGTTTTATTTATGACCAGTTCCTACATCCCTGTTCTTGTACTAATCTCACCCTTTAGCTTCCAAATAGCTCCTTTATTTCAGCCTTCATTATGCTCAGTAATCTATGCTTTTCCAGTTTTTTTCCAAGAAAACATGTTCTTCACTCCCCTGATCAATCTAGTAGTCTCCATCTGTACACACCTCTTTCAATTTAACCTTCTGTGTGACCAAAACTGCAAACACGCTTCCCAGTGTGTTGCATTAATACCATTTTTAGTATTGCAATACCATTAATACTAATTCTGCAGAAAATATGTTTTCATACACCCTAGAGAAATAATTCCCTTGCCTACCATTACAAAACACTGTAGATAAAAACATCTACATTGACATAATCACAGGTACTAACATTATGGTCAGCAAACACGAGGCGGTATTCCTCCACTGAGGCTCACTTGGCAAATTTCATTTATACTTGCCATGACTTAAGAGCAGTCAATGGATGGTTACTGTGATTCAGTCGAGTTGTCATTAAATTCACATAACTAATCAAAATACTCAATGCATCTCCATTTGATGAGCCTCCAACTTACATCAGAATTTCATGTTCCTAGTTTGTTGGACCAACCATAATCTTGCACTCTGTACTACTGAATTTCATCCTAGTTCTTCTATCTCAACTCTTCAGCCGACTTCTTCCTTTCTAAAATCTCAGACCTTCCTTCACAGACATTGCCTGCCACCTTAATCCTATCAGCAAATGTCACTGTGACTCTCATACACTATATGAAAATCCACACCCGGTGACCATTGCAGAGCTTCACGGGTTGCCTCCCCCTCACTTGTTATTCTCTGCATATAGCCGTTTTGTAATCTACCTCTGAATTCTTTCCCCATCCCCATCTTCTGCAGTTTATCTGCTGTACCAGAGAAAAACTGCTCAATTCACTCAGATTAATCCATTCTGCATCAAAATGGTTATTGATTTACTAACTAAAACCACATTGAGTCAGCCAGAGCTCTGTATAGCCAAGTCTTGAAAACTTCAAGGATACAGACTCCACAATCTCCTTTGGCAACATGCCAGCCCTGTACTACATGCAGTGACTTTTTTTTTGTTTTCAAAGAGCATCCAACCTCCCAAACCACCTGCAGTCACCACTCCTTGATATGTTTTGTGGTGCTTATTGAGAAGAGTTGGAAACCTTTATCTCTGAAACACCCCTTCCACAGATGCAGGACCAGCTGTGCACCAGAGGAGGTAATTGATATGCCAGCTGTTATGAAGTCTGCTTTACAAGAAACTGGCACTCCCTCCAGAGTACCTTGCAGAATGGGCTCACCTTCATCTGTACAGTCACACTTTCAGGTCATCTTCCTGCACTAGCATGCTTCTCTGTCTGTTTATGTACAGCTACACATAATTAACCAGTAGAGAACTATTCATTCAGGTGCTGTATCAGTAATATAGCAGATAAAACACAAAAAATGTTAATAAACACCTACAAATTGTGAAATGTTCTTCTCTAAGTAATCCCAAGGAGCTCTAACACATGGAATTGTATGCACATCTACCCCTTCTCCCAAGATGAGTGGGTTAAATGCACACTTGCTCTTAGAGTTGCATGGGGCACTCTACATGCAAACCCCTCAGGTACGGAGATGTGAGTGCTACAGCTTTACGTGTAGCTGCTCTCCACAATCTGCTGATACACATGAGGGTGAGAAAGTCACCCCACAAGTTCATGCATACAGACATACCCAAGGTGTGGGTAAGAGGGGTGACTTCTAGCAGTGTCAAACCAGGTTTTGATTGCTGCTGTTTCCACTCCATGAATTCTCGCAATTCTCTGCTTAGTTTCAGCCTAATTCCTTCTCTAGTTCAAAATTCCTTCTGAAGCCCCATGGTTAATGTTTAACCCAGCTGATGCTGGTCATCCTCTTTAACATGAACAGACCTTTTGGGCAAAGGTCCTACAGACTGCTCTAAGTATTTAATCCATTTCCTCACCTCCTACTATTTACGTAGACATCCTCATCTTAATAGGTGCCTTACCCAGGTAATTTGCGAAGGGTGGACAATGAATCCTGCTAATAATGCATTTAACTTTTTTTGCAAACATGAAATAATTGCATTTAGTTTCAGAATCCTGTCCCAGGCATGCCCACTGAGCAAAAGATTACATGTCATGAGGATCTGCAACATAATCATATTATATATACATAAATGTGTGTGCATATATATATATTAATTTATATTAAGGCATTTTAATCTTGTTTTGAGCTTTGGTACAGGGCATTTCTGACCTATAAATGTATACACAAAATGCGATATGAAAGGTGGTGTATATATGAATACATAAATAAGCATAGAGAGGAATAAAAAGGATATGAAAGCATTGTCTTCTCCCATGAGCCAAACAACACTTATTTCTGAATGATGTGTTTGTACTTGTCTTTCTCGTCTCTCATCAGTTATCTACATCTGCTATCACGCTTTGGAGATATATATTGTTCTTCAACATAGTATTTTTTGTAAGAGACAGCTCAGTCCTACTAAGCAGTCACACCTACTCAAATGACTCAAATGAAAGCAATATTTTTTATGAATACCAATGTTTGCCAGGGAACATCTGAGCACACTACCATTAAATTCTCATTTTAACTTCATATATTCTAGCAGCTTGTTCTTCTCTTGTGTTTGTATAATCTTCAATCATCAGTTGTGAATTTTTTGTCTCACATGATGAAAATACCTGCTGTGCTGCTATGTCTTTCAATAGGAACCATGTGGTAAAAGATCCTCCCCTGATCACAGGATAAGCATGTTAGTGCATCTCTCTTGATACCTGACCAGGAATCTGCACAAGTCTAACACATTCATTTTCTTACTAAAAACAAAGTCAACTTTTTCATGAAGGTACTTTAAACACTTCTGCATAATCCACAAGGCACCAGAACTTCACAATGAATATGGTCTGATGGCCTCTAAACACAGCCACCAAGTTGAATGGTTTGTATCTCACCTTTCTAAGCAAGTAGGCTTGCTGATTTCCAGGTTAATGCACATAAAATAACATCCTATTAAGAAGAAGGAAAGGTGGCAGAATTTAGTATTAGAGTGCACTAATCAAAATGCACTCTGAATTAAACAATTTCGGAATAAAAAGTAAGATCTGCAAACTTTTAAGAGTTACTATGTGAATGGGTTGGCCCTGAGACAGGTAGGCAGGAGGGGGAGAGGTGGGAAATAGTCCTCCATTGACCTACTGAATTAATTAATTGATCTGAGCATCTACCACAGTTAGTCCAACTGTGGTCAAAAACCTGCAGTCGCAGGATGTCATGCAACATCCATCTGTAAGGACAAATGCTACAATCAGTTTCTGTTTTCTAAGAAATGTGGTTTTGCACACCAGCAAGAAACCACACAGAACAAAGGTAAGCTGTGCATGAAGGAGCTGCTCCAGGACCAGCAGTTCTGGGGCAAAGATATGCTTAATCAATTGAAATACTTAAGCAGCAAAAACAAAGGTTTGACAGCACATCTAAATTTACAGCTTAAGTTTAATTTGACCCCGTCATTATTTTCTCTTCTTTATTAAACAAAATTACACTGGAAATGGACATGTGAGAACTATAAGTATAAACAGATCTTTGTCATTCCCCCTGTCTCTCCCCACTATGTCCTTGCCTCATATGAATATGCAGCTCTATTTTAAATTAATTTTCTGCTATTGCAGAAAAGCTATGCAATTTTCTCAAGACATGGTCTACAGATTTTATAATACTGTTGTAAACAAAGTCCATGTCTATTCTCTTGTTCAGCAAAAGATAGAGTGAAGAAGAGCATACTTTTAAAGTATGGCAGAAGCATGCATGCCTGGGATTACTGGTTGAACTAGAGGATTTGTGTTTGCCTTAAAACAAACAAAAAGAAGTTATGACACGACATCACTCTTTTGTTTTAAGCTCTGAGACAAACCTGCAGGACTTTTCTAGTTCATTTCTTCTTTTTCTGCCAACTCTACAAATACCCATGTGGCTTGAGAGAAATTTCTGCTCAAAACACGTATCACCACTTCATTTGAAAATGCCAGTTGGTCCGACAGCTAAGTCCTCAGGTCCCCACAGGAATGGCAAAAGAATAATGTGGAGAATCCCAAATTCCGGTAGCAGTCCTCATCTTAATGAACTTACAAGCAGAAGCTTCAGGAGAGCCTGGAATGCTAAATACTTACTGAGGTTGTTCCATAATTTCATTTAATTTCTCACAGAAGCTCGTGTGTCAAGAAAAAAAAAAGCATACCTATTTAAGTATCTCTGTGTATTCAGGCCCCAGCCCCCCTGTAGAGGCACTGGCAAGCAACTGTCTTCTTCAGAGGTCCCAGGAGCATTCCATAAGAGAGGCAAGGAGCCTGCTGGGCCTTTACAGGCTCAGACACAATCAGGTGTGGTGTGTTCACTTTATGTCAGTTCATCTTTGCCGGACTGTGGAGCAAATGATTGTGTAACAGCATGCCTCTGTCTCTCCCTGCACAGTTGCAAGACACCAGAACTGCTGTATCTCTGCTAGTCCACTGTCTAGCATCACTAGTACACTTCACTAGACCGATACTGATTTTTTTATCATTTCTTAAATTCTGCCTATAAGGTGGAATGGATTTGTAGTGGAGCCCTGCACATACCACTTAAATGCCATAACTCCAGCTAGGCATTACCTTTTCTACCCACAGCTCTTAGGCCAGGCCAAGCTCTAGGCTGTGTCCATTTATGCTTCTTTAAAGAAATACATTAGGCACCCTCCAAAGCAAGGTCTCCAATGTGTTAGGCACTGGAGGGACATATAATCAGAATGCATCTGCCAGAAGACCTTGTTTACTTAAAATATAGCACTGAGCAAGGTCAGCTACTGTATTAACAGAGTTAGCTACACTAAAAGGTGTATTAAAGAAACCTATTTTCTACTATGAGAATAGAAGCAAGTTTGCTCAATTATTTGTCATTGTTAAAATACGGCCATGAGTAAAGGGAAAACAATATTGGGCCAATGGTTGCTCCTGTGCTTACAGATATGCATTAAACAATGGAGCAAATACTCAAACTTGTCAATCTTCATGTTTCAAAAGACATGTTTATTTTTAAGAGAAAATACTCCAGTAGTTCAAAATTCACTGGATGAAAGACAGAAAAGCAAGTAACATCCTGACTCTGCATGCTGATAGTTAGGGCACTGTCCTGGGACACTACAGCTCTGAGATCCTGTTGCTGTACTATGAATCATTCATGCATTTGATACAGAAGTCACTGAAACAACGTACTCTTCCATGGCTCTTTCAGCAAGCCACGTTCCCCCAGATCACACAAACGCCAGGGTGTGATGAGGCACAATCATTTGATGTATCATCTACAGCCATGCATTCGGCTTCCACTGCAGTCACACAGTCCTATTGTTGCTCTGCGATGTCTGGATTGTTCCCTGCAATATATTTCCTCATGTTCTCTGTAATGCAGGTCAACATTGCAAAAAGAGTCTTCCTCAGCCATTGATTACTGCTCTATTTTATATATGGCACCAAATCTAATGCTCAATGGAAGCGGCATTAGTCATCCTCTGCCTGTAGCTAAGAGGTACTCGGTACTTCGTGTCACATTAGCTGTTTTTTAACTTCACTCCACTGATCATGACTATATACCCCCTTAAGACTACATTCAGATGTCTGCTAAAACAGCTCATTTGAAATCAAATTGCACCCCCACTCTATTCTAATGTCCCTTGACCATAAAGATTGAGTTTTATTTGACATTTTGGTCTTAATTATGATTTATTAGGTGTGGGATGGTTAGACACTTTTTATCTCCATTAAATCTTAATGGCTACATTTTGCCTTTTCCTACTGAAAGAGTTCATGGAAATAAATGCAGTTAATGGACTCTGCTATTAAGTACATGTTGCTTGGAGATATAATAATGATACTTCAGAGTCTCTCCCACAATTTGCTATTAATATTAAGGAAATGCAAATTTCACAATCACATTTAAAGTCATTTTTGCTAGTCAAACTATTAAGGTTTAGTTTCAAGGTGGGAATTGTACTTAAAATTATCATCTCATGAATATCATGGAACATGATTATTTGTAATAGTGCAGTCATTACTGATAAGGCACAAAGACTTTAAAATACAGCATATTAAGTTTCACTGTAACATTCAGTCCACATAAAAATGGACTTGAACCAATAAAATTAAAAACGTTTTCCTAAAAATGATGTAGTGAACAACTGCTTTTTTGCTAACATATCTTTTACTAGTTGAAGGCCAAATTTTCTGTGAACTCTACACAATGGTAGAACTTTAGTCTAAGAAAAGACAGGTGCTGACTATATCTTCTTTTACACTTTTGAACTTTTTAAATTTTAAAATACCATATGCTTGCATGACCTCTAATTCAAAGTATAGTTTACTACCAAGTACGTTAATTTCTTTGTATCCGTTTATTTAATTTAGTTCAAAATAGGAGAAACCGTCTAATCTGATCTCTATTTTATAAGCCACTCCATCTCTCCGGTTCGTCCTGTAGTATTCCCAGTTAACATTTCCTTGTTTATACGTTATCTTTCATAAAGGCATATAGTCTTGAATTGAGGACAAGAAGTGATGGAGAATCAATAATTTTTCAGAACAATTTTCTCCCATTGCTAACTGTCTTCACTGCTGAAAGTGAACCTAATTTCTCATTTTCCAATCACCACTTCGTGTCTTTCTCTACAAACCTTATGTATCAAATTAAATTAGCTGAATTTTAAATTCCTAAACACAGAATTGTTTTTGACCCTATCTCCTCTCCTTAGAAATGGAGGAGAAAGAAAAATATCTTCTGAAAAGAAAACCAACAAAACCAAGATTAGGATCACTTAATAGAAAAGAACTGAGATAAGGCTCTACCACAAATGTCAAGTGTCCACATTTAAAAGCCCACATTACATCATTACATCATTCTGACAGGTTTAGTACTTACTGTAACAAATGATTGACAAAGGGTCCCCTGAAATATTACAGGAAAAAAAATAATGAAACTGTACGTATTACCAATCTTCATGTTCTTTATGAACTTCAAGTAACAAAAAGTATCGGGAACTCAAGGAAGTGCTAGAGTTGTAATTTCAAAAGCACCCAAGTGCAAATCTCATAGACTTGAAATGTGGCTAATACCTATGCACTGATGTTTGTAATGTTTGAAAACATTACCGAACTAAATATTACAGTTCCCATTTTGCAGATGTAAAACTAAGCTGGAACAATTTCCTCATTCTGTATGAATAGCATTAGGTTCAGCCTGCAGGGCAAAACAAACAAGGTTTTTTGATCCCATATACTGCTCATGCCATTTAACAACACATACTCCAGAACAAACAAGTTCATTAAGATTCTAGTTCTATGCAGACTAATGGCAGATTTACTTCAGATTTGTTATAGTTACAAAAGGATAATAGAATTACATGGATTTTCCCTATTATGAGAGAAAAGTAAAGCACAAGTAGAAAAAACTACAGTAGAGGTAATTTCTAACAAAATTCCAGTCCAGTACTTTTGAAGCTTTGACGTAGCTTTGATTTTTTTCCTTTTTCAAATAAAAGACAAACACATGAAATTCAATAATGTACACATTATGATGATTTTGTGAACAGCATGAGGAGCATCACAAACCAGAATAAAACTTGCTTTCTTTTGCACAAAATCTTCCATGTATCCTGTGAGGACATACTACACCCTTTGAGCATTACTCTGTTTTTCTAAGCAATGGACAGATGAGCAAGGGAATTGAAACAATTCAAACCTAGGATTTAACTACCTTTTATTCCTTCTAAATTACATTTTTCTTTAATAAGCTTAGCTCTTACGCAGAAAGAGGTCCTCATATAGCATGTTTTCTGTTGCTCTGTTTTACATTTCTGTCTCTGGTAATATTATCACCCATAATATGGGACATAAATCCGAAATATTATCTAAACCAACAAAAAAGATCTTAAAAAGATCTTAAAAGATCTTAAAAAAATCTCTTTTTTCGCTTACCATGTTGAACACGGCCATAGTTAATATTATTGCAGTGGTTGTCAATGTAAGAGTGATCCGCGGCCAAGGACGGTTTGCAATTATTCCAGATGATTTCAGGATCCACAACAGTGAAGCTGATGCTTTCTTGCTACATTGCTAAGTGCAACAGGTTTAAAAAGAGAAAACAAATATAGCTTTAGTATATTTAATTACTATAAACAAGGGCAGAATCACAAAGGTTCAAGAATGTAGGCAGCATTAATCTTTGTAGTGGAAGACAGCAAACCCTGACTATCACCCACAAGCACACACTCATGTTTATAGGTCACATAGTACGGACTTCACCCAGTAATTCTTTCACTGAATACAAAAGTTTGTGCTGTAAACAGACAGTATTTTCAGAAGAACTCCCTCGCACTCCCCAGGCAGATGTCAAATTATGGAGTCTTCTCATCCTTTCCTACTTTAACATCAATGCTTCTAATTGCTAAAAGTAATCTTTGAAAAATTTACAGCATTGAATTGTAGAGATTACTTAGCTATGCTGAGAATTGCCAAGAACTGCTTAACTGCTTGCCATATACCTGTACAGTTTTGAACAGACTTCTGTAACTTCTGTACCAAAATTTCATGTAATAATTCTAAATTTCTTTGGTTTACAAGACTTTTGATCAATATTGCTCAAATTTACTAATGTATTGTAAGCAATGAGGAATGAATTGGACTGATTTTGTACATTTCTTTAAAAAGCTATTTTTCTGCTTCTATTAAAAAAAAAAAAAAGTTTTTATGTTAACTGGGCAAGTTTATTACTAAGAAAAGTTCTGGAGAAAAATAAAATATTTCAGGTAACAATGTATCATTCAGCCAGTATGATTAGTCAATCAAGAGATTCCATTCTTCTAGCTGCTATTGCTAAAATTACAGATATTGCTGCATCTGACCTGAAGAAAAACTGTTAGACTGCAACTCAAAAATGAAGTTGTAGATTGTTACTTCCACCTGTAAAACAGAAACACACCAACAGAGCTCGGTGAAGCATTTCCTGACAGGCTGTTCAATGCAGAGCCCTGAGTTCTGCAGGGGAAGGACCACTGTGTGTTTGGTACATCTGTGCGCCCACCTGGTTTGTTACACAGGTGACAGGTCTCTGGCACAGCAGAGAGAGCAGCCTACATAGTTTAAACCAATGAAGCTAGTGAAAGGAAAATCTATGACAAAAACATGGTTCACAATGACAATTTTAAAATTTTGAGAAGAAATTTCTTGGAAAAAAAGAAAGACAATACTATTGATTTTGTGTATGAACTAACAGATTTGCTGAACTTTATTTCACCTGTAATTTGAGCCATCTAAATCCAGCCTATACAGCAAACAACTGCTAAAATTCAGTACTGCAGAAAATTTAGGGAACAACTTCTGGCAGCAGAACTGGAATGGGGGGGTGATCATTAAATTTAGGTTCCTAATAGCACTGTCAGATCTATGCAGGTTTGTTTTACTGATTCTGACCTCACATCAAAACACTTTTTGTAAATGTTATGTCTCATTTTCATATTTCATAAGAAAATGGAGAATAACATGAAAGGAAGAAAGTAATTATTTCTAGAAAGCATGAGAGAAGGGTAAAACATCATATCCCAGTAGCATTATCTGCTCTGTTTATTCTAAGTGGAGCTGGCAGAATATGGTTCAGTGTTTATCATTTATGAACTAGAAATAATAGGTATTTGTAGTATTAAAGGTGACTAATGTATTACCTTTTCATCTGAACATGTTAAATCTGATATGACAGCTCAGCATGATAGTGACTAATAACTTATTTTGAATATTCAACTAATTAAAATGTATCCTGTGTTGTCTTTCCACATACAAAAACCTACTTCAGCATTTAATAAAATGAATGCCATCTTTCTGAGTGAGAGCAAGGAATTGGTGCGAGAATTAATTGTGACAGCTGTGTCGTAGATGAAAGACAGTGTCGCAAGAGCTGTCACACTTCTCCTTCGCATGCTAGCAGAGGTTAGAACATTTGACTGAACACCTTCGTTTACAGAAAGCCAGTGAATCAGATTTTCTGTAGTTCTATTATTGTTCTTTTCATTCTGCATTCAAATACACCTTATTGTTTTACTAACACTGATGTTGCAAAGAATGAAATCAAGAGAAACAAAAAGCCTCAGAATTCAGAATATTTATTTTTTTTCACAGAATTGTTTTATTTTCACTCAGGCTTGGAAGAAGAGACTAAAGTTCAAATCCAAGGAACTGACTGACTGGTTGAGATTGAATACGCTAATCTAACAGTGGAGAGGGGTGATTTTTGACAGAGACACAAGCTTATACTTTACGTACTTTTTAATGGTCCTACTGCTAATTAAAAGAACTAAAAGACGTTTAAAATAAGTATTGTAACACCAAACTTTTGAACTCTGTGGTGGAACCTTTACATATAAGCCAGGCATTTAGAATCCTACAAAATATTATATACAACTGGTTTAACTAAAGCTAGAATCCTGCACAAAGAGCTAACAGCAAACAATAAAGTCAGTTTTGTATTTTTAATTTCACCATACTTTGGAGTGTTTATTATCCTTCACAAAGGGTCACATGAAAATGGCTGTGAGCTTCAATTCAACTATCACATTCAAAGGAAAGAGCACTGCATTGAGCCATATAAATATGCCTTTAGGCACTCAGTGCTGGTACCTCCTGTGATATTTTTCTCATTCAGAAGTGTATAGCGTCACTGTACTATATGCTATTTCAAGGTAAGACATTTTCAATCTCTCCTGTCAAAGCTTTTCTACTTCATATGAAAAATTGAAAGAGCCACTGGCTTTGGAGAAAGAACAAGCCTGAACAACTTTTTAAATACAGTGCCCAGGACGCTGAGGTAGAGGAAGAAGTTCTGAATGGTACATCCTACTACCTGGAGTATTTGCTTATTAACCTATCCCTACACAGTTGAAAAGTAGAAATATCCTTTAGGACAGTGACTGGGAACCCTGAAGCTCTTACAACAAGGCTCAGAAATGCTCTCCACAGCTCCACAACACTTGGATTCCTGGAGATACAGGGTACATCTACATTAGCGATTTAGGGTGCAGAACTGGTTCTTCTTTGGTGTGGTATCTTCCACCCACACGTGGGAGTCTTCCAGTGACCACTGATGGACACCATGGGTATGCCGAAAGCAGGTTCCCTCCTTGTGGAGCTTTGGGGTCATGGAGCACTGGAGGCAAGCACCAGGCTGTCAGTGAGAGCATCCCACTTTCCGTGTGGAACCAGGCACTCCAGCAATTAGCTCTCTGTGCAGGTGCTGCTCATACCAAGTGCAGGTAACTGGTACAAACTTCAATGCTAATAAAGAGGCAGTGGGAATGTATGGTCCTTGAATCACATAATCCTGGAACCATGAAGGATTGTAGCAAATCAAGTCCCATCCTTCCCTCTTAGCATCACACCAGGGGCCCATTTATCATCAAAAGGATGGGATGTAACTCAGTTCAATCTCTCCAGTTTGCTGGCTAGGATATTTCCCTGAGAAGTCTGAACACAGTACCTTACTTAATGATGATGGATTTGCCATTGCAGTGCCTGTGCTAGAGATTCATCAAAATGACTTCTAGGTTTGGTGACTTTCTTTCATGGATTCTGCTGTAGCTGCCAAAGTGCCTTTCTGGGTTTTCCCTGCCTTCCTTCATCATAGTGTTTAATCTTAATTTACAAGCTAAGACTTAACTATCGAATAGTGGAACTGAAGGGCCTTGATCTTTCATTTCTATCTGCGTAAGAGAAACATTCACTTCAGAGGTTAAGGTTCCAGGTTGAGAAAATAATTTCCAAGTAGTGCTTGTGCTGATATTCCTGTCCTTGCAGACAGGAATAAATAATCTTCTAAATATCTTGAGTGTACACAGTCTCTCTGACTGTTAAGTACCAGGGCCAACTGCTTTAGAGTAAAATGCAGAAGCTGAAGCTTGTGTATCAGTCTTTATACAGGGATGTGGTGTAATGCAGCTAATAAACTATGTGCTCTCTTCTAGCAGGGACAGTGCTGCTCACATACTGGTTGCACTTTATTAAATGCTCTTGTGACCTCAAATCAGATCATTTTTCTTAATTGTGAAGCCAATTATTTTCTGGTGTTTTATTGGCATTGTGTTATGCTAATTCTATGGTCCAATGGCATATTTAAGAGACTATAAACATGTTCAGATGTTCTCCCTTGTCAGCTGAAGTAGGTAGTTTTGCAGGATATAAATATAACAAAAAGCCATTCCACAATAACAGAAAATAACTAACAGAAAGATTATGTGGTACCAATTAAGTGCATGCAAGTAATACAAACAATTTTTTGAGAAAGTACTTGAACCACTACACAAAGAGCATCTGCCTGAAACTAACTAGCTATTTGGCAGGGCTATATCAGCTACCAAAGAGATCTTTGCCTTACTAGCTTACTGCATTTCTCCAATGGATTGAATTATATTTTCCAATACATCATTTAGGTAATGAGGTCTCTGCTTCCCTGCATTCACATCAGGAGGTAAAACACATTAAACAGTTACTAGGTCTCATGCATTTTGCACTCACTCTATGAATTCAACTTTTCTATACTTCAAGGAGAAGAGACACAGTATACTTATGAGCTAAAGTCACTGTCCTCTATTTATAGAATTTGGAAAGGCAACGTCTCAAGAAAAATGGAAAGCAAACATTCAAAAATATTAAAAAAAAATCCTATATTTTAGCTGTTAAAATATATGCCAAAAAGGGTCTTTAAGACTAAAAATACTCACAATTTTAAGATTTAACTCTGAATATGGTGATTATTCACCCTTCCCTCCCTCCCCCGCCCAAAAAAAAAATATGCATAGGGACAAAGAAGTAATTACAATGTAAAAGGTAGAAATCCGTTTCATGTTTCAGGACTTATGCCAATTTTAGCTAGCATTTATGAAGTTTTAATGTCTATAGACAAACAGTTTCTGTGAGAATTCTCAGACCTTGCAGCACTCAGTCAGTTTGCCCAAGACTGTATGTATAAAAGACATGATCTGCAATTCTGTAACCTTGCTATTTGTGCTACCACTGTACCACACTGTTTGATGGGAACATTTCTATTCTTATTTAATCACCAATATTATCACTCCATAAAAGATTGAGCTGGACTGTGCTGCAGTGCTGCTGAACAGTAAAATCAACTAATAATAAATTCAAAGTGAAAGACTGAGCAAAAATCTCTTCTTATAATATTGTAATTAAATTCTGGAAGAATTTAATTTAAATAGTAATTTTAGCATTACAGGGCGGATTTTTTTTTCATTTACCTAGGAAATTAAAATCAAACAGACGAGCTTGTTCAAAGTTGATTTTTGCATGCCTTACTCTGCAGCGATGACAGTCATTCATGATCCATAGAGACTGAGAGGGTGAAGTGTCAAAGTATTGAGACAAGTGTATAATGCAGTGACAGCCAGATGTCCCAACATGAACTCAGATTTTGCTGGTCTTGCCAGCACTACAGGTCCCACTCTATTAATCTTTTAACAGCCATAAAAATATTTGACTACTACTGCAAGTTCAAGAGAAGCTGTGGATGCCCTATCCCTGGAGGTGTTCAAGACCAGGCTAGATGAGGCACTGAGCAACCTGGTCTGGCAAGAGGTGTCCCTGCCCATGGCAGTGGGGTTGGAACTGGGTGATCTTTAAGGCCCCTACCAACCCAAACCATTTCGTGATTCTAGAGTAGAAGAGTACAGAGCAAAGGCGCAGTTTTGTGAGGGGGGAGAAAAGATGTGGCTTTATCATCTGCCTTTGTTTCTTACTACATTATTATTATTATTATTATTATTATTATTATTATTATTATTAGGCAATAAATTAAACTCATTTTCCGCAAGTCAATACTGTTTTATTGACAACAGCAATTGGTAAAAGATCTCCCTACCTTGACACACAAGCTGCTTTTCTGTATTTTCTCCCCCATCCCAGTAAGAAGGTAGAATGAGCAAGCAGCTGGGTGGCTGTCTGACCCTTAACTGGGGTTATCCCATCACAGTTCATTTGTTACAGTCAGTCAGGACCAGAAAATTCTGTTCTTTTTTTGTGCATTTTAAATAGAGATATATTTGGCAATTCTAAACTGTAATTATGTGCAGGTGTGTATACACAAAAACACATATACATTTAGGTTATGCTTTCTGGAAGGGACTATGAAATGTACCCCTTAAGAAAAAGATATGTGAAAAATTCACACCGAAAAAAAAAGTCAGGATTAGGATGATAAAGCTTGATTTCTCTAAACACTGGCAGGGGAATGCTGAAGATACTGATACTTGTTGGCTTGACAATTTCATGCTTTTCCTTCTAGAAAGAAAGCATCTACAATTGTGGGTCAGATACTGCAATGGACATGGCACTGAAACATAACACAGGATGAAACTGAGGTTAAAGCTGCAGAACAATACTTGGATTTTGCTTGGATCGCACAAAGAGGACAGGAAAGATAAACCTACCACCTCTTCTGTTACTAGTTTCTCCCTCTCATCCACCACCTTACAAAGCTCTGTCCATGCTAGTGAAGCAACATCAGTGCTGCAGCAAATATGGTCGTAGCTTACTTGCTGAAAGACTTCTTAGCATGGCTTCTGCATTAGAGCAGCTGAACTCATAAAGACATCTCTTCAAGCTATTTAGGTTACAACACGGCATCTTACAAGTTAACACGAATGCAATAGCTCTCCATTTCTAAGTATATGAAATATAGGGAAAAAAAGCATTGAAAGTATGTGCTAGGTATTATTCAAGTGGCAGGAATCCTCAACTCCGAATTGGTAAATTTGCTTAGCCATCTACTTAATAGCAGAAAAAATATGTTGCATTCCTCCTATGCTATATTAATTGATCAAATTTCCAGGAGAGTTTACATCCCAATACTCCTTGATACCCATTCACAGGCAACTTTTCATCCTATACAAAAAAGTCTGGCTTTCCCGTGAAGGACTTTTTTCCTCATTTTGTTATTCAACAGCATTACTCTTGACTCCTTCATTTTCCTGTTATGTCAATAAAAAATAGTTTTCATGTAATGTCATGCTTGATTGCTAACTTTTGCTATTAAATAACAACAATACCTCTAGGACCTCACTCCAAGGATTTAAAAACGTTTAAAAATACTGATGCATGTATACCTCAGAATAATTCCTGAGCAGTGGAGCTATCCCTACCTTACAGGAAAGACAACTGAAATGCAGATTAATTACATTTTTTTTAAAACATATCCTGGTTAATTAGAAGCCTCACAAGGGGAAGAGGAAGCAATTATAAAATCCTGAATCCTCTGTTTCTTGCTTCAACTGCCAGGCCACCTTCCCTTACTGTTTTACTGCACGGTGACATAATTGTCTTTCCCATGTGCATGTTTTGCTTCTATATAAAAGTTCTTTCTCTCAGCTTTATTCACGGAAACTTGTGAAAAATGCAAAGATGGTGAAGAAGAACTGGGGATTAACTGCACCAGAGCCTTCACAGATAGCAGCAATGCATATCCCTTTAGTTACCTGGAGCATGGAAAGCTGAATCTTTCATTTTACTGCCTCTGGTAACATGGATCACAATGACAGAACCAATGGCACAAGACTTTTGCTTTCCTCATTCCAGTGTTTGACAACCCTCACCATAAGAAAGCTTCCTCTTGTGTTCAGATGTGTTTTAATTTGTGCACATTGCCTCTTGCCCTGCCAGTGAACACTGCCGTCATCAGGTATTTAGACTGATCACCTCCAAGACTGCTCTTCTCCGGGCTCAACAACTGTGTAACATTGCTAATTTAAGACTCGGTACATCTGTTATACTGCTGTATACTGAGGTATATCAGTATACTGCTGTTAACTGCAGTCAATGTTTGGATGCAAAATAGAAACTGTATTTCATTTTGACCCATTTATCTGAGGTTTGTGGAAATAATTCAGTGCTCTGTTTCAAAAGGTTAAAAAAATGGAAAAAAGCAGAAAGGTTTTCTGTTGTGATGTAGTAAGTTAATTCTTACATGGTACAGTAAGAATAGTTGCAAGTAAGAGATAAACTGACCTTAAAAAAATAAGCAAACAGTGTGTAATTATGGAACACTTTATAAACAAGTCTACGAATAGATTTATTCTAGATTATACGCCAAATCTTGAATTCTCAAACTGAGCATTTTAATATGCTCACTATATCAGAGAATCACAGAATTTCTAGGTTGGAAGAGACCTCAAGATCATCGAGTCCAACCTCTGACCTAACGCTAACAGTCCCCACTAAACCATATCCCCGACCTCCTGAAGCTGTGGTTCACTAATAGGCATTACAATAACACCTGTACCACTCAAGAGCAAAATCAGTATTTTACTACAAAAATCTTATAAATCAGATTAAATCATTACTGTGAAATACTCTCTAAGCTCAGAATATACAATACTGCAATACTTAAAAATAAACAAATAATGAGGTCCCCAAAATTAAAGCATTTATAAGACAGTTCAGCTCCTGCAAGCACAATAGCAAAAAAAAAAAAAATAGAAAAGGAAACCAATCAAATGATAATGCAGACCTTCCAAAAGATTCAGCATCATGGGGGGAAAAGATAATTACTCCACTGGCATTTTCTGTTTTTCAAATAAATGAGTACATTTTACAGTAAGCGTGGACAGCTAGCATGGACAGAACAATGTCCTTAGAGGCATGAGGGTGCAAGTGTTTCTCAATAAATTGGTATTCTATAAAGGCAGAGTGACTTGGGAAAATCTGGAGATGTCATTTAAAAGAAGCTATAAACTACTGGATTAGTTTTCCTTCAATACCTACCAAAAGCTGTCCAGCAAAGCAGATAAACAAAATGAAGGAAAGCAAGAGAAATGCAGCCCCAAATGAAATTCCAAGAATAGATGTTCTACAAGAAATAAGAAAACATGTATTAATTCATTGGTTACACATTTGTAGCATGACCTGTATTTGCTTATAATGCAGATAATGATACAAAAAAATACCACATGCAAGTTGCAATTTTCAAATATGAAAACCAAGGAAAAACAGTTTCAATTCTTACCAGAATGACAAGCCTTTTTCCTGTCATTTTTGATCCCACACATATAAAAAATGAGCTGTCAAAAATAACACCACTGAGTTTTGTTTTGTTTTTATTTTTATTTTTTTCCTCAAGGAATACTGGCTTTGGTTTTATCTCTAACTTTGCAAAATTATTATCATGGGTAGATACTAATTTTCATATAAATAATTTAAATGGCAGAGTGAATTAACAGAACCAAGGTTTTATTTTATTTGCTTTTAAAAGGCTCTGTTCATGAACCGTACTGCTGTATTTTTTGTAGTTGGTTTAATAATAGGAGTCTGCTAGGTTTACAAAATAATTTTGTCGTGGTAATGTACCTTTCCCTTAAAGGTAGGAAAAGAAATAGCAGGGAGCAATGATGTGCAGTTTTCAGTGTCTTGTAGCTAGAGCCTGTGGCATCTGTCTTATCTGAGATACTACTGTGTATCTGTCAACAAGGTCACTAATTTCATGAATGGGTTTCATGAATTTAACACCTCTGAAACCTCAATTTTTTATCAAATTTGACTGGCTGGCCAGTCGATTGTGAAGCATCAGAGGACAGGCAGTATGATAGGAAGGAAGACTAAACATCATGAAGAAAAGAAAAAAGAACAGATTTAAAATAATAATAATAATTTAAAAAATAAAAAAAAAAATCAAATAAAACAACTGAATAATCTACATGCTTCCTGAAATCGTCCTTACTCAACATTCCTAATAATTCTTTTCATGTATACTATAAATATATAGTAGGCTATATATAAATATATAGTTAGTCTAGCCAAAATAGCATCTAGCCAAAATAGTGCTAGGACTCCGTAAACAGAAAAAGGGATACAGAAAGAATCTGTGCATGTATGCATGCTGCAGATGTGGAAATCTCTGTATATGAATACCACAGCAGAGTATAAGTGCTCCGCCAGGAACTATATGAGAGCTACTTAGCATGGCTGCCTAGGGAAAGAAGCAGTTGGACCTAATTACATTTAATGCATGCCAAGAGGAGATGAGAAGCTCTAGACCAACTGAGTTGTTCAAGGAAAAGAACCAGACATTGTCACGAAGACCCTCACCTGAGTATCTACTTTCAGCTTTAACCACAGATTTGGTATTTTTTGTAAAATTTGAAAATATCTCTCAGCTACTTTTAGCCCCAGCAAATATCTTATTTTAGCAAACATTTTTTTTGCTAGAAATATCGTCATGATGATTTTGAAATAAACTTTATATCCCTTGCTTTTTCCACAAATATACTAAATACATTTTATGTTAGTTCTCCCATAAACCTATGATTCAGAGTTAAAATATATTCTTAATAATAGGATACATCTGTGTTCTTTAGAAATGATGTGAGTTCAAATACATATATTTTAGAAACTCTAATACTAAAAATTTAGGAGTAGAACTCCATGGATCAGTTTCCTTGGATTATGTACAAATATTGGAAAAAAAAAAAAATTGATCCATTTTAATAACACTTATAGAAACTGTTTTAGAAAAAAATAGCAACTTCACAAATGAATTTGATGCTTTATTGCTGTCATTAAAAGCAATTTATGAGCTTTCCTGCCAATCCTACAGAGAACCTCCTATATGCTAAGTATTCACCAATTTTTGTTTTAATGTGAACAGCCAGTGAATAACAAACAACCGGCAGTTCAAGACATATATTCACCTTGAAATTATGTTTCCTTCAAAAATTATTTGAAAATCATTATTGCTTTTGAGTACATGTTCTCGGAGAATTTCTCATTAAGACATTACGTTTTACATCAACATACATAAAACTAGCTTCTTTCTACCCTAAAGAATTTTAAATCCAGCAAGCAACAGAAGAGGTGAAAGAAAATGAATTAACTAACAGGCAGTCTTTTTTATATGTACATAAGCACTCCTCATCATATCTGTCCTTCAGTAAGATGCACGTTCCTGCATTTCTAACTATTGCTATACTTTCTCTGATGCAAAGCATACTGAAAAGGAAGTTGCACATCTTAGGAAATGATTCAGCCCAAGAATAGGGTTGTGAGATATGTTTGGAGTGCATCCTTGTAGAAGACATGAAGGTATTACTGAGAGAAACTTGAGAGCAAAGGAAATAAAATGAACATGTAAGCTTATGCAGAGTACTTAATCCTGGGGCAACAGACAAGAACAGAAGTCTTTGTAGCTGTTTTGAATGGATTGTCACTGGTTGATGTTAGCAGGGTGGCACAAGAAATCACTTGGGAAAGCGAACCAGACTCAATTATTGGGACAAAGAAAAGGACTGGGGATAGGAAGAAGGAAAAATGGTGGCTTAGAATCCAGAGGGGTGAGTACAAGGAAAAAACAGTTGTAAGCTTTTTTGCTCCCCACTCCCCCTTCTTTTCTGGGAACAACTTGTGTTGCAGTTGCGCTGAACTGAAAGAGTTCATGTTGCTCCTAGGAGGAGTGACATGGGATGAAGATGTTATAATGGGAAGCAAAACACTAAAAATTAAGAGCCCACATAAATAAACCTCATTTGATGAAGTGCAGGAACATGTACTTACTTCTTGTCACTGGCACATTACAAAAACAATACAGGTCTTTACAGTAAACTAATCTTGCCTTTATTGTGCCGAGTCATCAAATGAAGTCACCAAATGCATTCCATTGACAGATGTAGGTGAACTACTTTGTCAGAAGCATACTTGGGATCCCCTAGGCAGTTAATTTTTCACCTGCCTCTTCCTGTGCTCCAAGGAATGCCCTCATTTCTGAAAGGTCTGTTCTCTACTACAGCACCTTGCTGGAACCCTGATGGGACAAGCCTTTACAATAACCTACACAGGGACAGAGTCTAAAACTGAGGAAATAACAAAAAAACTTCCAAGGCTTGAGATAGTTACAAGTCTGAGTGTCTTTCCATATTTTTCTGGTTTTATTTGTACAAATCTGTTTTGAATAATTAATTTTTATGAGGCAGTATGAGATTGGAAAAAAAATATCTATTTGCACGTACTTGTCTCTCTCATTGGTAACACTTTAATTGAAAAATAAAGATTCATTATGAAGATATAGATACTGAAAAATTGAGAAGAAAATGTATTCTTTCTACACTTCTGTAACTTTCAGGAAAATATGTGACCTATTGTACATGTACCTTAATAGGACATAAATTTCCTTAGCTTGCCCTGAAATTAACATTCATGTTTTCAACTTTTTGACCGTAAATTCTCTTGAGGTGATAGAATCATAATGAAGCAATTACAAATGACAATTATAGAAGACAGTAATGATTTTGTACCTTTTTTTGGTGTCTAACAGTAGCCATTTCTTTTTTGATTTGGCTGATGCCATTGATGCATTCAATGACTATGCAGACTAACTGCACAGTGGTTTCTTTATTAGTAAAACATCATGTAAGTGAATTTCATTTTGTTGTCGTCATTGTTTGATTGGTTGTTTTGGGTTTTGTTTTTTAATCAGATACAGCAGAAACAGCCAGTGATGGTGTCTTTTTTTCTTTTATAACGTCTCAAATTTTATACATCTGCCTTCAGATGAAGTTTTAAATTACCTCCTTTTCTCTTGAGAAATACATTTGTGTCTGATTGGAATACCATGGCCTAACCATCTTCAAGGGCTAGAACAAGATGTCTGTTAGCTTGGCATGATTCAGAACAAAAGGACATAATTTATTCAAAATAGCAGCTTCAGAGAGAGAAGACTTGGAAAGAACTTAAATGTTGCCTCAAACAAAATCCCTACTCATATAGCACAATAAGTATCTGCTGGTCAATAGATATGTATTTTCATCAGTTCAGCAGTTTGAATTTCAAAAAATAACACTATCAATTTCATGTCAATTGACTTGTTCTCTAAATAAAGAAGGTGGGATTATTGTGAATTACCAGAGATAATTTCTGTCACCTGGTAAGCAAAGAAGGCTAAAAAGCCACCGAAGGCCTGTTCTGAGGAAATGTAATGATCAACATCTGTGGTCACTGTAACATCACAACAAAGATTCCTTACATCAGTTACACTTGTTACAACGCACTGTTTACTTGCTTAAATTTACATTTACTACTTTTTGTGATTTTTTTTTTTTTTTTATGAAAACACCACATCAGTTTCTAGGTCCCAGGAAAAATAAAACATTAATAATTTCAGCCTTGCAATAAATGTCTCATGATCTTGGAGATATTACTTATGTATTTGCAACCTGCTGGATGTAACTCACTATAAAGTATCTCAAAATCAACTTTAAAGCAGCAGGTGGTGTACCTGCACAGAAATCAATAATATTACACTGCTGCAAAACCAGATTAATGGAATAGTGGATCGATAAAATCCAATGACAGATGCAGTTTTTCTCTCTGTCTTCATTAAATCACCATTTCAAAATTCCGAGAATTTTTAGAAGAAAAAGGCTGAACAGAACTTTAAACTAAACTATAATGTGTGGTGGTTGGGTTTTTCGTTTGTTTGCTTGCTTGTTTGTTTTCTTCTCCTTTCTGGAAGGAAATTATGTTTGTAGCACTCGAGTCCATTTGATTTAAGTTACATTTGTGATGTAACTTAAAACCCCAAATTGCCACAAGAGTTACTAACTGCCTAGCATTTGCTCCTGGTGTTAATATTGCTTCTTAATTGCAAATGAGTAGAATAGCCACAAGTTCCTGGTTTACAGCTGTGCAAAAAAAAAAAAAAGTCTATATCTAATTTTTATAGGATTTTTAAAATAAAGGTTGAAAGTAGGAAAAAAAGCAAAAGTGTTACTTTCATTACACTACGGAATGCTTTCATAAGACAATAAATAAGTACACTCCAATAAGCAACTCAAGTAAAATTATAATATACTGAAGACAATTTTACTATCCAAAAATACAATTACGCACACCAGTGAATTTTCCACTCTTTATTTTTTTTAATTTGCAACACCCCCAGAGTTTTTCTGCGGAGTTGCAGACATTTGTATAATACCTTGCTTTTCTGAGTTCCATTTTTGTGTCTTTTAAATTAACTCACAGAGCCCTTAAAGCTGAAAACCATTTGTGTTAGTAATATCTAATTTTACACTCTCGCTTTTACAATTTAATAAGCAGATCTATGAGAGGACCAAAATTAATTTACATTTCACTAATGAAAATAATAAATCATATGTATCTTTTGCCCTGATGTTAAAAAGAGATCATGTAATATGCTTTTACAAGTTGGAGGACACTTTCCTTAGTTGAATATAGTTCCCAAGTGTTCACTAATTTCATGTATCTGATACATTTTAATGAGCTACACAACTGGTTCAAGAGACTTAATAAGGATACAGTAAAATGAGCATCTAACTACATATATGAAAGGTTATAAAGCTAAATTCATTTTCATGACTGAAATCAAAACATTAAAAACAGTCATAAGCCATAATGTTAGAAGGCACTAGTTAGATCCAAGTTTAATTTTGTTGTAACACTAACGAAGAAGTTCCCTGAGTAAATTTCTGTACTAATCAAAATAAGAGTTTGTAAAATACATTCACTGTGCAAAAGGACAAATGATATTAGTCATCAACTTTAATTTCATATTTTGTGGTAACAATGCCGTAAGTCAGACTGAAGCATGTGCTGCTTCAGGATACTGCTGAACTCTCGTGTCTTCGAGACATTAGAAACTAGTTGGGAAAACCTTTGCAAAGAAAACACAGTAACATCTGAAGAGAAATCTGTAAAACTTTATACATGTTATAAAATAAGTCTGCAGCATGAAAAGTCGATTTATAATGACCTAACCGTTCCTTCTGGCTTTGAATTCACATGTAAGTACTACAACACAAGACTAATCCATCAACTGATGTTATAAAAACTACTCCCAAAAGCACTACATAAGGAGAAAATACTAGGTCTGAAGAAATACTGTATCACAGAGAATATACAGTGTTGGCTTTGGAAGAAATTGCTATAAAATTAATATCAACTGCTCATTATGTAAACAATCAACAGCAAAATTCCATTTTAAGAAATCTAATATATCTTATTTATTGGAACTGTCTTCATTTTTTCTCAGACTTTTTAGAATATGCACAGATAGAAAGAACAGCTGATTTATACGTGCAAGTATAAAGTAGCTCACAATTTTTCCCATCATCTCATACAAATAAATTCTGATGGCAATAATTATTCCATCAATTGATTATATTTAGTTTTAAAAAGAGACACTTTACAAATAGTAATGCAATTTGTATGCAGAATAGAGCAGTATCATCACAGTAATATGTTAAACAGAACTAATTAATCACAGCCCCAATTCTGCAATCCATTTCATCCCCCTCTTAAGCCCTTATTAAGCACTTATTTTACATATAGTTGCAGTCTAATATATAGGTTATAGGTTGTTTTATATTTTTTGCACATATGAATTTCATTACTCTTGTGATCACACATTTTTAAATTCAAAGAGAAAAACTAAAAATTTAAATAAAAAAATTATTAAAAATGTTTAATAAAAACTAAAGATTAGACACCAACATTTGGGCACCAAGCTATGACAGTGTTTAAAATTAGAAACAAGCATAACATTGAACATGGCCTAAAATCCGAAGCTTTCTTTTTACAACTTCATTTCCATGAATTGACCTCTGTCATCTGACAATTCAAAAATGCTTTACTTACTTATACATATATGTATATAATATATATTACATATTTTTTTACTTTAATAACCAAATAAACATAGGAATGAATACATGTTAAATACCACTTACTTTGGCAATACCAGAATCTGTACAACAAAAATGCAGAAGAATATGAGACAGGCACAAGTCACATAATACTTAAATGCAGGCAGAGTAGTTGCTCTATACTGGAAAAAGAATGAGTAAATGTTAAGAACACAATTTCCAAAGCAGATAAAACATCACCCAACCGAAATTCCAGTTAAAGATGCACATACGCATATACTGATATAAGCAACAGTAAATTTCATGTTGTTCAATGACTATCATATCCACTTACACAGGGGATAGGATTATCATGCATAGTAGTGAATCCTCTCATCTCTTGAAGGACAGCTTAAATAGCCATGTGAAATGGTTTGCTTTTTCCCCTCCTCAGAACAGGACTATCTCAAATTCATCATAAAAAAATTTAATTAAAAAAGAAAAGTGAGAGCACTTTTATTTTTAAGAATGGCTGACCACGCTTACACAATTTCTCAGTCATTAATTCCCCAAATTGTTTTTCATCTATTAGTAAATATAAATGGGCTGAAGCAGTTATAAGGAACTGCAACTGACATTAATACATGGAAACTTCTGAGAACATGAAGCAACACAGTGTAAACTGCTGCAGCTTTGTATAACATTTATTTTTCCAACAGCAGAGCTAGCAATCATACTGATATTTACTGAGGTTATGTTATTACTTCAATGAAAATATTTTATCTCTGCATTAAAAGGCCTTATGTGTCCACTGATACTAGTAAACACTTGATATCAATGGGACAGAGTCAGTTTAATCTGTTTTGTCATGACACAAAAAAACTATTTATGAATCTCTAATTAGCCTGTCTGGAAACATAAGAATTAACCAATGAAATATTTATTAGAAGAGTTGAGTTGTTCCGTTATTTGAGACAGATAAATCTAAGATTGAAACCAACAAAGTACTCAAAATGACCAAAGCACTGGTTCTAGTGAAGTTACTTACCCTACAGAAGTTGTTTCAAAGTCTAAGAGCTTAAGATTTGATTATTTAAAAAAAAAAAAATGCATATCAAAGATTATTTTCACAAAGTGTTCAGCATACAAACCTCATAAAATAGAAAGTGCGTGAGCTGTGCTTTCTAACTGCAAACATGCAGCTGTGTCTTTGTGCTTAGTGCCAAGTTCTGCCCTTCATGCTGGTGCACTGAACTTTATATGAACATGAAGTTCAGGTTAGTAACCCAACAGCTCTTTTTCAGTTTTGAATTCTGTGAGAAATTAATAGTAATTCCTGCTATATACCTAACTGAATTCCAAGGCACCAATATGACTATGCTTGATGGGTATTCTTGCAGCAAATGTCATTGTTTCTCCTATTGAGTATGTTTATTATATCTTGGTCTCTTCCAACAGTTTTGGACTTGGAGTTGCTGCTAAAATCTCAAAAAAATCCAACACACTTGTAAACTCATTTCACACTTCTCCAGACATTTCTCAACAAAGTCAGGCAACTCACTCCTTAGGTTAAATAATTATTTCTTTATTACCTGCAGGACCTGAAAAGTTGCTGTTTAAATCAAAATCAAGCTTCCTACTGAGTTCTTTAAAGTCAAGATTGGACTAGTAAGTCATTAAAAGGCAGTGAAGAAAGATCTTAAAAAGCCATATCTGAAAAGAACAATTAGTTTTGTGTCACACCATAGCATTCTACAGTCAAAAAGAGATTAGACTCCTACAGGGAGCATCTATACAGCCAAATAACTCAGCTCCCTGATTTTCTCCCAAGTCCCGATTCCCTCATTGTCTGAAGTGGTTTGCTCTCAAGTTCTTCTTTAGAATTAATCAGTTAGTACAGTCCACATTGAAATCTGAATGCGCTCCCATCTTTCATCCATTCAGCGCACTCTCTAAACACTGGGTGAAACCATAGCAGGTCTTGCCTCTTCTCTCTATACAGCCTCAACAAGCCTTGAAAGCTTTATCACCATAAGGCATTGCCAAGGTCATACAACACAGGCCTTTGGCAGCCTGCCGTAAGAACTCTATTCTGCTGAGCTGTGAGAGAACGTTAAAATTCTTTCAGATGCTTTGAACTGAAAGACACTTGCAAAAATTTTTGTCTTTGGAACATATGTAGGACCCAGAGGATGTTTGCGCCTTTGATATGCAGTATGGTAGTGCTTCCCCTACCACGTTCTTACCAGGTTCACTCACTTATACAGCCATATGTGGTCAAACTTACCTCTTCCCTGAGGGACACCATAACTGCTTAGCTATTTGCTGGCTTATGCTTATTGGGAAGGGGAAAAATGGAGCTCTCTAATCTTCCTGCTGAAGATGTGTCAGCATGTTGAAACACACTCAAGCTCCACAAGGCCATAAACCAACAAGAATAAAGGCCTGACTTCCTAGGCTAGTGGTCACAACAGTCACCTAAAATGGAGGAAACCTTCATTTTGACCATTACTTCAAGGACTGCAAACAGTACCATTTACCTCACCTGCAAATGCATCTCAAACATGTTTTATAAAATATATTAGTCATAAGAACGTTTACTGTGTTGCATTCAAGACATCCCAGGCATTTTTTTTGAATAATATTTACAGTGTTGTTTCTCTGAAATGACTGTGAGCATCAAGTGCATATGAAGAAAACTAATGATAAACTGAAATTATTGCAAGACTATCGCTACTAGAGGTGGAGTCTTTGGGACATGGCAAAAGGAAAAAAATAGAAATGGTTGAGTTTGATAAATGCCTTTCAAGTATGTAGGTAATGGAACAAAGGAATTTTTTGCTCCAGTTACACCAAATCTGGATCATCAAACCTCCTCTCACCTCTATGTGTACCACTCTGAAAAATTCAAGAAATTCTAGTGAACTGCAGAGCACCACAAAAATTGCCCTGCAACATGAAAGCAGTGCGTAATATCATACTCAAAACATTTCTACTGCAAATGAGGTAGAATATTAATCATAAGTTTTAAGCAGTTCTCACTGCAGGAAGGGTGCTGTGGCTATGGTTGCTTACAAAAGCAAGGTACACAGGCCTCACTTAGGATCAGGCAAAGAAGGAATCCGTTGTGAACTTGCAGTGAAAATAACTTACTTCTTTTTCCAGAGTCTTATTGTAGAAAAGAAGCGATATTCTTTGAATGTCTTCAGATTTAAGCCACTGCCTAGAAAAGGAAATATAAAACATCATAACTGATACAAGAATCAAGTAGTCCTGTCTTTTTGTATCACTGAAATGCAGTAAAACAAGAAAATAACTGTGAAGAAAGCAAGTTCTTTTGTCTTGAAACTTATATGGTGAATTGCACTGAGAGTAGAAAAGGATACTACAAATCTCCACTCCATTTACATGTAGATTTCTGTTGTTAACGTACGTATCAAACAAAAGTTCATATGAGCCATTTTTCTGTGTATCATTCCCAAAGACAATCAAGGGAAATATTTACATGATATAATTCTCACACTGACATACCACTGGTATCCAAAATACCATAGTACTACAATGTGCAGAATAGAACCTGAGATAAAATGAAATCCTTCACAAGTTACTTATAAAAAGGACTTTGTTACAATATGCAAGAATGGCAGGCAAATTATACTCCTATTTGAAAAGAGAAATTAAAAATTGTTATTAAAGAAAGGTGGAGTGATTTTGTCTTTGAGATGTATTAGTCTATGAACTATGACCATGTACTCTAGAGGTAGATTTTGACCTTTTTACTGATTATAAGGACTTCTTCCCTGCTCAACGATGAGAAATACAGAATAGAACAAGCACTTGCAGTGAAATGACAAACCTATTTTAAAAGGAGTGAATCTTGTCAAAAGCTTGATATAACTTTTAGAAAATCAAACGTTCTAATATGAAAGTCCACATTTATTTTAATGGACACTTGAAAAGAAACAGAATATTAAAATTTCAAGAGGTTACATTGCTTCAGTCTCAAGGGGACTAGACAAACTTGAGAAAACTATTTAAACACTCTACTTCTGTGAACTTATAATATTTGAGCTTGAACACTAATAGCTGGGCTTGAGATTTTTTTTGCAACCTTTCCAGCAATAACTTTAAATTAGACTCTAAGCTAGTACTGTAGCTAATGCCTTCTAAATAAAAGGGAATGTATCAATTGAGAGACTGCAATGCAGACGGATAGCAGCAATGAACCACAATGGAGAATACCCTAAATTAGAATCTCAGGAGAACAGGAGAGGAGAAAGTGGGGTGTAAACTATTAGTTTTGACTTGTGAATTCTAAAATATTTGTCTCCTTGCCTGGGAGACTCCTTCTGTTCCTATCCAATCAGTTTCAATATAAAAAGGTGAAAACATCTTCAGTACAAAATATGTTTAATTCAAACATATTTTCCAGTTTGATCCAAAATGGCTCACATTTATGTCTGATTGTAGCTAGGATTCTAAGTAGAAACAGGTAGGACAGGCTGTTGTACATATAACAACATTTTGTTGAGGTCCAGCTGTAGTCTTCTACAGAAAAAAGTCAGTCAAATGTTTTTGGTAAACTATGAAAATTAAGTGCAGGTCTTCTTCTTATTTATTTCTAAAAACTGATCAAAAGCTAGCCTTTTTCTCCAAATTGTCAACTAATTTCTCTTTTTTTTCTTAAGGTATCTCTTAGGCAGATACCTTAAGATTCCTGATTTTATTTCTATTTGCACATTACTAAAATGTTCTGTCTGCAGAGCTGCTCCCGAAGGTCTAATCTACTCTATGTTTGATCACATGTGAAGTCATTAATGCCATTTACAGCAAATGCTGCCTCATACTCCCCACTATAAGCACACATTTTCAGGAGCTTTTAGTCCTAAAAAGCTCAGTAGAACTATACTGGTTACCTCTACTAAAGTAGTTACAGGAATTTCCAGGAAGCTGTAGTAACTCCTTATTTTAGCCTTGGAACTTCAATTTTTCATGCGGAAGGTGGCCCTGAGGTCATAGCTGTGTCCTGTATTGCTTTTATGAAAAAAGCCAATATTTGACTGTCTGACTTTTGAAAAATCTCAATTTCACAAACACTCAGCAGCTATTTCACACTTCACTAGAAAAAGTTTTCAGGATCTTTCACTTTCAACAAACATGTTCCACCTTTTCTCAATCCATCTTGCAGCCAGACTTCAAATATGCCATTTCTAAAGGGACTGAGGGACTGCACACTCAGTTTCCTTATCACCACTACTCTCGGCTTTATAGCAGGCACCAGAAATGAAAGAAAAAGACCCATCTATCCATACTGACAAACTTTTGTTTATAGCAGAATCTCCAGGAACCAGGAAGAAAGAAAAAGAAACATGACATCTACCGCAGAAGGGTGAGCAAGACTCAGGCAAAAGGCTCTGTGGGATTAAAAGCAAATAAGTAGGCAAAGGAACAGCCAGAACTGAGAGAAAGCAGGAGAGCCAACAGAAGGATTCAGTAGGTACTAAGAGGTCTGAGATGAGGGACAGAGTGCAGCACAGACAAATAGAAGTAGAGAATAAGCATAGAGAATAAGCAAGGGTAAGGGCTTTTTGGCATAGAGACAAGGCTGCAAAATTCTGCCTACTGCCTGACTCCCCGATGAGCATAAACCGTACCAAAGTATCTGCAAGGATATGGGAATATGCCACCTGGGAAGCTAAACATCAAATTTGTTTTCAGATTCTTTTGCAGTTCAAGGATCAACACAGACAGACACTTGACTTCTACCCATATCCACAGGGGCACCTGGTCAGGCCCTTGTCTGGTGGACAATGTGTGTGCAGATCACAGCAGCCATCGTGATTTAGACAAAAAATAGAGAATGTGCCTCTTTAACAAAGTAACCTATTTATCAAATAGCAAAATAACTTTAGTTTATCTACTTCTAGGAATATATTTAGATTACTGTCTCTTCATCACACACTCTGCAAAAATCCCCTAACCACCGAGGTGGCATAAAAAGGGCTACTCAACCCCTCCTGTGCAGGACATGCACTTCACAGCCAGGAACACCATGTTCAAGGTGCTGAGAAAAGAAACACTAGAGAAATGTGATGTTACACCCTTACGGCTAAGGCACTCAGCAGACAGAGAGAAACTGAGTATATGTATCTTCAGTCCTAACTGTTAACAACTGGGCAAGCAATGTCCAAAGACCCACATATAATGGACATTAGCTTGTGACCAGTTACTTTTTCCAGAGAATGACACAGGGCAAAGAACCATGATGGGGATAAAAGAGTCAGACCTTGCTGATAGCCCAGGATCAAAGAAACAATGGTTCTGTACTATAAATGTTTGGTTTTTTTTAATTATTTTATGCATTTTCATAATTAAAAATAAAATCAAGATTAAAAGAATAGTAACTTTAATATCATATTTTATGTGCTATAATGTTTTTTCTTCTTTCAGCCATAGACCCATTTGCTATACAATCCAAGGTTTACACTTAAAAACACATAAAAATACAAGTTGCCTCGCAGATTTTCTTGAATATTTGCTTTTTTGATTTACAGAATGCAAAAAGTTTAGCTTTAAAACCGCTCCTTTAGTTTAGCTGATAATAGTATTTTCATTTTACAGCTGAGAAACAAGTAAAAAAGAAGCAAAATTACAAAACAACAAAAACGTGACTAATTTCATGTCCCAGATATGCGACTTTTTATCTTTTTTTTTTTTTTTTTCTGAGTAGTTAGCATTCACAAAGTTAAAATATTATTGAGTTAACTTGCTGTTTGGGGAATAAACACTTTTGATTTTATTTTTTTTCACATACCCAATCAAATAATCTAGCTTAAGTGATTCATTCATCAAATTAATAGAGAGGGAGGTAGATAATTCAATTTTGGAAGGTGGCATTCAGCCTCTTTGATCTGTAAGATCATTCCTAACCCATCTGCAGTTCCCTGTGTAATTCATAAAAGAACTGAAATTTTTGCAGCAATTCATTTTATCACACAAACCTTTTTTATCCTTAAGTTTCTCTGAATTTTATGTACTCATTAGGTAAGATACAGATTCTTTGAGACAAAAGACAGTGTGATTATGACAGAATCACAGAAGTGTTGAGGTTGGAAGGGACCTCTGGAGGTCATCTGGTCCAACCCCCTGCTCAAGCAGTGCCACCCTAGAGCAGGTTGCCCAGGGAATAACTATAGTTTATCTTAATGCATACATACAAGATATTATACTTTTGACATTAGACTTTCATTTTAAAGCCCAATTATCAGAGGAAGTGTACCTAAAGACACAAAAGCTGTCAAAAGTTGTACAGCTGTTTTAGGCAAGTATAGCTTAATCAAAAAGGCTTTGCATATCAAATGATCTCTTTCACTGTATTCTTTGTATGACCTATAACTATCAATACCATTTTCTATAAATAATAACTGAAACATATTATATTTTCCTAACACCAAGTATCTTTTAACAGGACTATCAGATTGAAAAAAAAAAGACATATGAACATTTAATAATTAGGTATATATTCAGCTAATTAGGATTCTGAGAAACAGAAATAGGGGGGAAACATGCATTCATCACAATTATGATGCACATTTTTGAAGAACAATTCCCTTATTTCATCAGACAAAGAAAAGAAATCTGACCATTTATTTTGGACTGTTATCGATTTTTCTCTCAGTCTTATCTATTTGCTAGCAAACAGAGAACATCAATACTGCCTCCAGCACTTCCTAGGACACAGAAGCAATACATGCCATGTTGCCTCCCCCAACAATTTCAATATGCCATCAAGCACAGCCTTGTCTAAGAAATCAACCAAGCAGCTGAAGCAAAGAGATATTAAACTAAAAGTTTAGGGAAAGTTTCTAATTCTGTGGAGATGTTTCTGTGACAATTGTGAAGCATCAATTTTCACATCACTCTGATTCTTGAGCCAGCTACTTTTTGTGTCTTAATATCACCTCTCTCAGATGAGTTACAGCTATGAATGTACAGATCTGTATAGTTATGGAGCCAAAAATCCCTTTGCCATGAAAATCAAGGCAAGACAAAACTCTGGTCACACCATGGTTAACGTGAACCCATTTAGCATAAAGTGCTACTGTACAGCCTATCTTCACAGTCTGCAGAGCTTACTATCCCAGTAGCAGTGCTGCCTTTACTGTTTCAGACTACTGTGTGCACGTGGGAGGGCAAAATAGTAAATACTACCCTCTATTACAGATGTATGTGAAGGAGACAACAGAGAATACAAACATACTTTTGAGCATTGATTCCATCAATGGCCTGAATCATCCTCTCATTCAGCTCCTCCTCAAACCTTCTTTTCTGTGATTTTGTTCTGAAATGAAAAATGTGGGAATTTACTTTGGAAAATCATTACATTGTTAATGAACATTAAATTTAAGGAATGGAGTGATAAATGTGCAACATTTCTGATAATTGATGTTAGTTTCCATAGGCTTCAGACGCACTGAACCTCATAACAAGCTCTTGACAGAAACAGCATAAGCTAATACTCCGTGTCTGTCCTCATTCCTGTCCCCGTTCACCTCCATTTCTCTCCCCTTCCTCCCTCCCACCTCCCCCCAGCCAAAACAAAATAAAATAAAAATCTAGAGAACAGCTGTTAGGGAGCACTCAAAAAAAACTACTGTAACAAAACTTCTTTCTTCTTCAAAAAAAAGTAAGCAGTTCAGAATATTCTGGTTGAGGGGAAGTCCTCCATAATGTTATGAATTCATGGAAAACAATAGGAATGTGCTGAAATTCATAAAACATTTCTTGCAGTTATTTTAAAATATCTTTGTCAGGGTTGTATGATGAGCAATAATGTGCTAGTGCATTGTTGCATAATAAGCATTCTCTACAGAAAGCCTGTGAACTCTTCTTTTCTTGGAAATGTTTTTAATAAGAAAAATGACCCCCAAATCTGAAATTAGTTTCAGCCATATGCCATGTTCCTCTTTTTATAACTTATAACACAACTGCAATGAAAAAAAGGTCTTTTCTTTTCACTGGACTCAGCATGAACCCAGCAGAGGGTTTGCCTTCACTAACATGTTACTGCAAACATCATCAGTTCTTCCAGCAGCTGTGCTCTGCTTAAAACCATAATATATCAAATATTTCCAGATTGTATTTCTGTGTGTTGAAAACTTAAATCCAGTGTTTACTTAATAACAGTGTTTTATAAGAAGTAAACATTCAGATTTGAAATTTGACTCTTCGCTTACCAAAATTTTCTTACCCTACAAACTGAAACCTGTTAAAGGTAGCACAGACCTTCTTCTACATCAAGTTTTTGGGTTATTTCCCAATAACTGATAACCTGTTGTTGGATTCACATTTATATAGAAACCATAGTAGTGTACTTTCAGTAACTTTAAAAAAAAAATTAATGCCTATTCAGTGCTACAGAATTTAGGTAAATAAGTGCTCACAACTCATTCTTCACATATGGAACAATCTGCCTGGAAGGAATAACCAGATAGATGAGGTTACGTAATTTAATCACACTTAATTTTCTTGGCAGATCTCTAACAACATAAGAATATAATGTAACGAGGTAAGATTTGCCACAAATGGAAGCCTACAGTCAGGCTTCAAAACCCACCTTTTGATATTCTAATAAAACACTGATTTTCAAAGTGCTTATTATCATTTCAGCTTTATCCTCTGGGAATGACTAACTAGAATTATCTAAAATCTTATTTATACACCCCAGTATGGACAGAAGACTCTAGTAATTGTTTCTAGAAACTCCCTCCAACAACATGCTATCAAGACACATGGTAACATTTGTACCTTCTGGATCTATTTTGGAGTGAAATACACTTTTTATGACAAGGCTAACTCAAGTTCTTTTGAGATACTGTCCAAACATAAATGCTGGGTGTTAAAGCCAGAGACTGCGCTTATTAGTATCATGCATATTCAGTCAAAATTTGTTCAACTTCTGGAATTTAGAAATATTTCATGTAATTGCATATCTCCCCAGTAACCTGTGTTTTGTCTAGGAGACATTTACCAAGCAGAGAGATGGGGAAGGAATAGACAGAATGACTGGTCTGCATAACCAAAGACAATAAAAATACCAACTTTTAATGGTTTTCTCAAACTATTGTATGGTATTTGTGATGTTTCTTATAATTCTGAGGGAAAGACATTATCAGGTCATTAAAATAAAATTGAACCATTTCACATTCCGGACAGTGCTAGGCTTGTTTTTTAAGCAGCAGTCATTCTTCATTTAGAGACTGTGAGTATTTTTAGCAAAAGAGATCAGTTCAGCCCTGTGTCCTTTATTTATTATCTTGCCCCAGTCATTGAAATAACAAACAGGAAAATAAAAACTTAAAGGTTATTTCCAAACATTTTGTGTAGCAGGAGCACTATAGGAGGATCACAAAATACTTTTAAAATGTTTACTACTGCAAACACACTACAGACTTTGAAACAATCAAGTACAATGCAAATACAAAGCAATTGGCAAAATGCACAAAATGTGCCTTTTAGTACATATCTTACATGTTGTAACACAAATTATTGGAAGCCCTTTCCAGCTTCTGTTTTCTTCCCCAATCTATGTCTCCTCTCTGAATTTTCCTGTACATAATTTTCTCCACACTGGAAGAGTAATTGTGTTGTTAGGAGAAATGAACAGTAGGCCACTGACACACTAATTCAGAATAATTCTATTTGTTAGTAGGAAGTGTATTCACGATTCTTAAGTAAAATATCTGCAAAACCTGTTTTCATAGCCCTTCTATATCTAAGAGACATGAGCGGAAAAAAATCATCTGGATGAGAAACGGCCCTCTATGTTTGAAAGTATGCCTTATATCTCTGTGAACGCACATGGATGTATATGTATATTTATATGTAATTTATATAAGTGATTTTTAAAAATGAATTTACCTCTCTCTGCAACGCTGAAAATGATACTGCCCCATGGGAACATCCTGAAAAAAAAAAAAGTACAAAATACCCATTAACCATACTATAAAACACTTTGACAACATAACTAATGCGAATTTACTTTAAAAATACTGTTGAAAACAGGGTCAAGTAAGGACAAAAGTTTCCAATACAAACAGTTCTGGCATTAGATTAAAACTTTCTAAAAGAAAAATCTAGCCAAAGGTGAAGATGGAGTGATCTGGAGACAAGCTGACCTATCGTAATAAACAATAAATTACTAATACAACCACCTGAATCCCAAAATGTTTTTCTTTACTAGAAAGTTACTGCTTCAAAGTCACCACTGTTGTAATATAGCCCAAACTCCTGCCAGCTTCAGAAAAAAAAGTTATGTGTTTTTGAACAAACAGACCCGAGTAACCAAATACAGGCAATGGCCATTATTATTATTGATGAACAACAACAGCCATCACAACCACATTTATTTTGTGATTAATAGCAATGGCTGAGTACTTTCAGTAATGAACATTTCACAATCCATATTGTTATGCACTGCATTTATTGAACAAGATGGGTTAGGTGGCTCAGTCCTATGTTCCCATATAAAATGGAAACAGAAGTTAAAGCCAATGTTGAAAATACTTAGAATTTTCTTTACATTTGCACTTTTTAGAAGTAGAATATAATGCAACGTTCAAGCTACAGACTGACTGTGTCATACTGACAGCAGTAAGATAGTGTTAGCAAAATTAAAAAGAAACTTTTCCATTCAATGTAAGAGATCACATGCAACATCACGCTATAGCACTGTGAAACTCAGGCCATTAGCTATAGCTTATGAATCGTTAGTGCACCTTCAAAAGGTCAATGTTACAGTGAGTACGGATTTAGTTTCTAGAGAAGTCTTACAAAGTTTACTCCAGATACCACAGGTATATTCTAACTTCATAGTGTTTGCTCCAGGTTTGGCCATGTTCCAAAGGTAGTATGTGGCTTAATAGCCATTAAATCTCAGGGAATGTCTCTGTATCAATGGCATCTCTTCCCAAAGGTGTTGTACTCTAGCTTTATGTTCAAAATGGATTTTCACAAGGTGAACAGCAACCACACTATATACTGTGACTGGCATAAGCTTACAGGGCAAAACTGTGCACTTAGTATGTATGCTTGATTCCTTGTGATTCAGAGATGTACTAATAGCAAGATATAATTCCTTAGAGCCCAATCCAAAACTCACAAGCCAGTGGAAAAACTCCCAGCAGCATTACAGGGCTTTTGCCCACTACAAATGCATGAATCTTGCTCTATCAGAAATAACAAGGTATTTAGCAGTGAGCACCTTTTTCCTTTCAAATATTGCTAAATTGTATGAAATGACATAAGTAGGCCCCTACTGTTGTGCTAATCTTGCCGTTTTCAGTGGTCATGCTGTCCCTGTGGTGCAAGTGTGCAAATGGCTTGGCTGCTCCCCAAGATTCCAGGTACCGGGTCATGCGGACAGAAGCTCTCATTTTGGCTCCATCAAGAGTATGTCGAGGTCTAATGTGGTGCTGAGGACTTCGCTTCTCTCCCTGGTTGACAGAGAATAAAAGGTGATATCACACTTGGTGTTCATTACCTTTTGAGGCACTAATGCATCATCTGCTACCACTTACCTGCACACATAAGAACTTAAAAATGGAGACATGCTAAAAACCCGCAACTCTTAATTACATTTCTGGGAAACATCGGAGACATTTCTGAAGAGTGGGAAAGATTTGTAATGCAAACATTATATATTTGGAAAAATTAGTAATAGCTCTGATCAATATATTATGGTACTGAATTATTCAATAAAAGAGATTAGTGGTCCTGCTCAAAAATAACTGCGACTGACCACAAAGTAGAAATACTACTAACCTTAGGATTGATTACAAAGTAAGTCTTAACATTGTGCTCTTTCAGATATGGGTCCCTCACATCACCATCCCCATCTTCCACTTTGTATGCTCCATTCAAATGTGCCAAGGTGACTGAAGTGATGTGAACGCGGCTGAAATTATATTTTAAAAGAATGACAGAATCACAAATACTTGATCAATAGTATGATTGGAACCTGATCAACTTTTTTTTTTTTTAATTAGCTTTTATGTATACTTTTGATGCATGCTTTACTTCATTTACAATCTCTAATCTCATTTTCAGAAGTTCTAATGGTCATAAATCTATTCTGTCCACAAAAATACTTCTTAAATCACAGGAAATGCTATGTGCACTTTTTTTTTTTTTTTTTTTTTTTAAAACAGCAAGCACTAAGAATTATTTGAGGCTTCTTCATGAGGTTTGATGACCAAAGACATGGTACCTACACATTTCTCCACAGAACAAAAGCCCACGTGTACAAAGGCTAACAGAAAAGCCTCTTACCCTGGAACTCCTCCAGCTTCCATGTGATTTGCCAGAGTGACATCATGCGACCACACATCGTACTGCCACTTCTGTAGCCCAATAACTCCGCAGAGGACGTTCCCAGAGTGCACTCCCACACGCATATTAATATCAACCCCAGTTGCATCTCTCACTTTCCTGTAGTTGAGGAGAAAACCTGAGTGAATAACATGGCCTTCATATTCTTTTATTTTACCAGTCAAATTTACAGTACGAATGTTGGTACCATTTATTTATTTTTAGCATTGACTGCATTAGTTTTGTGATAATTTTTATATATTACCTTTAATATTATCTGTACTTACATATATTTGTAGAAAACACTAATTCCCAAGTCTGAAGTCCCTTTTACAGGCATCTGAAATTATTTGGTGGGACTGAATTATGTACTGGACAAGTTCAGTCTTACAGTAGAATCTAGGGAATATTTTTCTAAAGGCAATTGGAGAGCTGGAACTACTGTTACAATAACTAATATCTGAAGAGCCTCATATCTAGGGTAGGGACAGGCTTTCTCCCATCTTTCTTCTCTCAGGTACCATCAGTTTTGTATGCCTGCTTGCAAATGGTTCTGCTTTGAGAGGATAGATGAGAAATGCAGTACTTCAAGATATACTGGCAGTGACTCATACTGTTTTGGGGAATATGAGCCCCATATTGACAGTGCTATTCAGCCTGTGGAAAACATGGGCTCAACAACCTTCCATGTGCTTGGTGAGTGCCCCACCCCATAAACAGTTAAGCACAAGGTGAGAGGCCACTCTTGCTTTGACATTTCCAGTGACTTGAGACAGAGATAAGGTATCTGTTCAGCCCAATCCAAATCACAGAAGAGCCCTACAGATAAGAAAGGTTTTAGCCTTTCCAGAAGAGAGGTACTTCTGAGTCAAAGGTGAGTGACTAAAGTAAAAAAAAAATAAAAAAAAATAAAAAACATTTTCAGACGTATGTCATATGGGTACCTAGCTATATATGTAGAGAGTTTTCTAATTAATTCATCTGTCTAGTTCTAAGTTCTAAAGAAAAAGGAAGATCACATTTCTCTGTAACTTAACTAGATTTATGTATTTAAGACTCAACGCATGCAGACCAAATTACAGCCAATAACAAGGAAAATGCATCTTAGGAGAATTCAGCGTGTTGATGGAAGCAACAATAGAATAAGAAACCCAAATGGCTTTTGAATATGGGTCTACTTCATAGTTTTAGCAATATCTTCAGTTTCAAGGATGACACTCATCAACTCTGTGCCTTCCAAATACAGAACTAAACTAAAAGAGAACTATTTCTCTTCTACTTTGAAAGGGACATGGAACTTAACAGGCTTAATTCGATATGGTAAATGCTACTTTGAAGCACTACTTCTCAAGCTCTTTTTCTGGAAAATGAAAATAACAGGAGCATGAAGTGTTCTGCTAAACTGTGTTTTGAAGGTATTAAAAAGAAAAGAGAGCACTTTTTTTTTTTTTTTTTTAATTCCCTCAGTCTCTATCAAGTTTTATAGGTATCTCTGCTCACTTTGCCATTTTACACTGCTCTCCTGTAGCTGACACACTTGGAAATGAAGTGCTTGTAAATGATCTTTGTAATCAGTCCACAAATGACAAACATAACTTTGAATGGAATGTGATGAAATACAAGCTTAACACTCTTCATAAAAAGTGTTTTACAAAACTGGTCAAAGACGAAGGGGAACATTTATCCTCTAGGAGTGCTTTTCCAAAGGCTGCCCTTCCATATTCAGCAGAGCAAGTCATAAAGTCTGTTTACCATAAGCTCTCAGGAGTTAAGGAGGAGAGCTTTCAAATTGGTAAAAACAACCTCATCCAACAGTTTATTTCATTTTCAACTCTCTAAAATTGAACTAATTTCACACTAAGAAATTGAAGACAGACTTTGAGAATCTGAAGCAGAGAAATGTCAATTAGAAAGCCTAAAGACAGAGAAGGGGATGGAATAAGGGCTGAAGGAACACAGCACAAACATATTTTGCCTTGAGAGATAAGCTTTAGCTTTAAAGCACCCAATTTAGGTGGCCAGCTCTCAAATGCATCATCGGCACCTATTGCTTGGTAAGGCGAGCATTGCACTCCTGGGCAAGCAGGCTGCTGACTATAAGAAACATTGACTGGGTTTGTTCCAAGATAGGACAGAGAAGTAAAGCAATTAATCAACGGTACCATTAACAAGTTTAAATGGAAACAATCAGTAGCCTAGCAAGGCTGAGTTCCTCAAAATGGAGTTACATCATTAGGAAACATGAATGAATAAAGTGTTTTACGTCAGATCATTTGACTTGATATAATTCATTTTTTTTTTTACCTCAGCCAGATATAAGAAAGTTCCTCAGAACTGGAACTGGAATTGCAACTATATTCAGGTGGTAAAATCTATACTGAACTGTTACCTAAACAGCAAACTGCTGTATTTCAGTAGCATGCAATAATGGTTCAGTTTGCACAGAATGATGGAATGCAATAGAAAGTTGTATTTCACAAAAAAGCTATTTTAGATGAGTAACTCCAAAATATTTTGAGCGATACACTTTCAACAGCAAGAGTACTGCTACTTCTAGTTTTAGAGGCCACAGAAGTATTTCAGGAGACGATTCCACACAAACATGCGGCAATCACAAAATAAAATATGGAGTTGATTAATAATCAGTATTTTTTATTCACCTGCAGGCTGCAACACTTGACATAATACTTTGAAAATATTTCAGAACATGGGGTACTCATTCCTCATTTCTTACAGATATGTAAATAGGATTTGATATTCCCAGGCACCAGGCCCACACCCATTGTGAATTCTTATTACAGTAATAAAGTTAGATCAGAATGTGCTATACAACTAAAAGATAATTTTCTAGACTATAAACTTGTTCTTACCAAGGTGGACCACAACATCCAGTATTACCAATGAACATGGATGTTAACAACTTGGGCAGACCTTCATTTCAAAAATAAACAAACTATAAAGTCATGAATTGTGACAAATTGAAATATTGCTCTTTGAGCTCAAGCAAAGCTTTGCTTTGTGATGTGCAAAATTATACTTCTAGATTTTTGGAAGGGCAATTTAGGGCTTGAGCTTTGTGCATTGTTTTCTTTTAGCCTGTAAACTTCCATTTTTTTCTCCAAAGTAAGAAAAAAAACAACCAACCAACCAAACAAACAAACAAAAAAAAAAAAACACAGCAGGTTGACCAGAAACTGTGTGTGAATGCTTTTAGCTCACATCTATCACACAGCACCTAGATCTTTTGAAATGTAAAACAGAAACCTCTCATTTTCACTGAAAGTCTGGGATAATAAAAGATGTGGTTCAAAACTAAAACAAAAAACACACAAACCGGGGCATCAGGACATATGGACAGGCGCTCTTTTACCTACTGCTCCAACACTGAAGTGATGTCAACTTCAATTTCTAATTTGTGAGAGAAGCAATTAATTTAATTATAATAATGCTGTTCTTTATAGCTAAAAAAAAAAAAAAAAGAGAGAGAGAGAGAGAGAAAGCAACTGAGAGAACACCTCAATCTGTAGATTTAATGCTAGCCAAGTAGAAGTACTCAAAGTACCATAAAAGTAGATTCCTTTGGACACAGTGTAAGGTACAACCATATCTAAATGAAGAAAAATAATTTTAGAAAATGCAGCAACCTGGCATTTTTTTTCTGTACTGTGTTCATTTTTACAAAACATTCCAAAAGAAAGGAGATCAAAATCATAGTTTAAACAAAATACCACACCTTTTCAGTGAATACCTAAAGGGAAAAGAACCAAATTTCCATTAATAACATAGCCAGTACAGTAATTCCTCTGGATCAAATCACAAGGCCAGACAACTGAAATGAACCAAGTCCTCTTGTGACTATAAATACCCACATATGAGGGTAGTACTTATGGATCCAAGGAATCATTTTTGTATGTCTATTTAGTTAATCACTGGGACGACCTTGATCAATGCAACTTTTCCATTTCATCATGAAGTACAAACCACACATATACCTCACAAGTTTTAAAATCAAAGTCTAAACTTTGCTAAACTTTGTGTCAAAAAGCAAATCATACAGGTGACTACCAAATACCTAGACGTCCACATGATATATATTTTTGCAAAGTGAAGGCCACCTAGATATACTGTAATTTTAATCAAAGGCAACCACTTTCCTACAGATAAGATATTTTGTCATTAATGATACCTGTTAGAAGCAACCATTTACAATAGTTTAACTCCCAAAAGATAAGAGATTCAGGTATGAATTATAGATAGTGAATTATCTGACTTTAGAAAACAAAACAAAAACACAGAGGAATAAGATTTTTTATTATCCTTTCCTGTTTTTGTTTGTTTGTTTGTTTTCTAAATAAGAAAACAGAATCAAACCCTTGCTTAACAAATAAGCTATAATATATGTATCTGAAGTCTCTGAATTGGTAGGTTTAGGACCCTTCAGTTTGATGTGCAGTCATCCAAATAAGGTTTAAGTACCTTCATGCTGAAATGTGTCCAGCTTCAGTAGCAGAACTCATCAAAGGCAAGTAGCTTAGATGAGAATTATTTCTATGCTGCACTGAGAGTTCAGATAGCAGTCAGGTGAGGAGAGATGAAGGAAAGTAAAGCTGTCCTTTTGCATGACTTCTTTGAAGTCCCATCATCTTCAAAACCGCTAGTTCCCTAAAATCTGTTCCTAATCTACTACTCAGTAAAAAGCTAGAGGATTCCTCAAGTATGTCTTAAGTTGTATCCTCAGATGACTTACAGAGCTGACCCATCAGCTATAACCATTTTTCTTTTTCTACTTTCACAATCACATCAAGCCTCCTGTAATTACCTGAGTTACTTGAAATAAGTTGCAACTGATATTTCAGAAGCAATCACATTATGATTCTCGCATACCTTGTTCTGTTTTACGCGTCAAAGACAGAACAAGCACAATGATTATGGGAAAGAAATAAGGGATAAATATAGGAATTCACAAATCCAAAATGCTATTGAAAAGCACAGAATTCTAAATGGTGCCTTAATGCCCAACTGAAAGAACTTTTACAGAAATTCTTTTCTAAAAGAATTAATTAAAGAAAAGTTGAAACTAAATCTAAACTTAGGTCTAAGAAGCACATTTTACTGCTTATGTAACAAAATGGAAGATAGGCCTCTCAACCCAAGGTTCAGCAAACTGTTAGACATCCTCAGTACGTGTGTTCAGTATCACTCTGCAGTCTGAAGGCTTGAGGCATTTTAGCAACATTTCCTCTGTGGAAGAGCAACCTCTCCTGACCATCACAATTCGAAACTCAATAGCAACCAGGAGCTCTGGCCACTCACAGAGCCATTTGGCTAACAGGTGGGCGGCAGCATCATAACTTAACAAAAAGCAGAGCTTCCCTAGTGAGTGATGTATATTTATCACCTCGTTATCACAGAATCACAGAACATATCATAGAACCACAGAATGGCGTGGGTTGGAAGGGACCTTAGAGATCATTTAGCTCCAACCCCTCTGCCATAGCAGGGATACCACCCACTAGATCAGGTTGCCCAAGGCCCCAGAGACCTCCAGTCCAACTCCCACTTAAAACAGGGCTAGTTAGAGCATGTTGCTCAGCGCTGTACCAACTGGGTTTCACTTATTTTTCCACAGAAGAAGACTCAACAATGTCTCCAGACAACCTGTGCCAGTGCTCAGCCACCTGCACAGTGAAGAGTTCCCAGATGCTCAGAGGGAGCCTCCTATGTTTCAGTGCCCACCGGCACTCGTCCTGGCACTGGGTGCCACTGAAAAGAGCCTGGCTCCATCTCCTTTATATACCCTCTTTTCAGGTATTTACCTACATTGATACGTCCCCCCTGAGCCTTCTCTTTCTTCTCCAGGCTGAACAGTCCCAGCTCTCTCAGCCTGTTCTCATATGAGTGATGCTGCAGTCCCTTAATCATCTTTGTGGTATAGTGACAGGATACCCTGGCATAACCCAGCTCCTTAAATCATTTCTTTTTTGAGGCTGAGCCAGACCTTGTAATGAAACACCCCAACTACAGCAGGTCTGAATGTTTCAAACAGCACCACAGCTACAAGTAGAAAAGACAAAATTTATCTTGTTGAATATTGTTCCTTTGGTAAAACTTCAACACTTACTTAATAGCTTCACACATGTCCAATCCCATTTTCACACAATTCTTGGCATGATTTTGAAGAGATATAGGTAGTCCAGAAACACAGTAGTAGCAGTCACCTAGGATTTTAATTCTCATACATTCATTTTCCTAGAGGAAAAAGCAAAGTCAGATGATCACTTTCAGCTTGAATTACATAAAGTGAGGGTTACTGTTAAAAGGACTGACTTGAAGTGATATTTTTAAAATTGTTCTGCTTAAGCCTGTTTTGGCAGAGAAGGACTTGGCATTGCCAAAAAAGAAGCACTGCCAGAGAGTTCTGTAGGGATGATTTCTCCATCTGTTATGGTTCTTAATGGACAAAACCAGAAAGTACATTCACTCCAAAATATTTATCATACCTTGGATTAAAGAACTAAGGTGAAGTACCATGTCTTTTTATTTGAAATACATAATCAAAAGTTCTAGCGTTCCACATTTACATCTTTGAAGACATATTATGAAGTACTTCCTGAAACTAGCAATTAAAATATTATTTTTTATCTTTTATACTCTCTTAAAGACAATATAAAAAATATTTTTTTAAAGCAATTCTGGACAACAGTTTTTGAATTAATAAAAATCACAGAAAATTTTTGTCTGCCTTAGCACAGCAAACAAACACAGGATAAAGTTTGATGTAAAGTTTATATTTGAATCTTTTATTGAATAATCAAGAGGCTGTGGTCAGTAATTAAAATTAATTTGATCAACACTGCCTCCCTTGTTGTCCTGTCTCTTAAATGCTTTTCCAGAGAAACAGTTCTGGAATGTTTCTGAGTTTCTTAATCCTTGTTATTGCCAAAAAGCTATTTAAAGCACTGTTCACTATCCATTAAGCTTTATAAGAGCTTATCCATAAGAGCTGTTTATATTGGTCCTATCAGAGAGAGCTATCTTGGCTTTCACAGATTACTTCACTGGCAGAAACACACCGTTACTGTAAGACCAGAGCCAGATTTTTTCTTCATGTGGCTCAAGACTAATCTTCCTGCCAAAGCCTAAGAAATGCTTCTTCCTGAAGGAAGAGTTCCCAAGATGAACAAATACTTAAAAGTGATGTAGGTATTTAACAGTAACAGACCTGTAGAAACCCACCTTTGCAATCTGATCAAACTTGCCAAACAGCTCATTGAGCATGTGCACCAGTTCCCCAGGTGAGCAGTCACTGGCCAGGCGAGTGAATCCTACGATATCAGCATACAAGATGCTACAACAGAAATGAACAGAAACTTCATCTTAGTGTCCTTCCCCAGAACTTGGATTTGTGAATCAACAGCAAAACCTGAAAGTAGGCATTCAGGTCAAAATGGCCACTTCTACATGCAATAAATACACCTATATTTATAGGTAAACCTACATTTACCTTTATAGGAATTGTAGTTTTTATATATATATTTTTTTCTTTATAGCTACTACCTTCATAGGAACACCTGTATTTGTAGGTATTTATAGGTGCTCTATACATATGTGTTATGCTGTATTCAAAAAACAGAAGCCTTTTTCCTACTCACAAATTGATGCTATAATAATGGAAATTATTTCAATAGACTTATTTGTTATCAGAAATAGTTTTACAACTTTTTGTCACTGTAGATTTATTTTTTTTGATCAAGATTTATCTATCAATAATTTTTATCATGGACGTCTTTGTTCAGCTGTTACTCAGACAATTAAATTAAAGCTCAACTGTTAAAATAATTCAAACCATATACTATGTTTCTATCCACCAAGAAAAATTAACCAATTCATAAAATTAGACTAAGGTAAAAGTGTTTGTGCTTACAACTGACAATGAACTTCCTCTAATGTCCTGCAATACTTAAATACATAGTGGCTTCTATTGACATTATTTAAAATCTGACAAATTGCTCTTGTTAAGAAAATTACAAATTCATAATAATATAACTAAGAAATTACAATTTCTACTATTATACATGTACATAAAAGCAAAAACGATCTAAACAACATTCTTTTAAACAAACCCCTTCATATTATCACCCTTGTTGCTCTTCTGGAACATGGAGTTGTCAGCAATTGATCAAATTAATATATGCTGGATACCGAGCATTACATTGTTGAAAAACATACTAAAACATTTATGTTCTTAATTCCTCTCATTACTGTCATTGTTTTTTTGTTTGTTTGTTTGTTTCGTTTTGTTTTGTTTTAAATATCGTTCATAAGTTTTATTACAGTACAATACCTTACATTGGTGTGCCTTTTGACATACAAGTTGTGGAAGTTGTTTGTGTTTTCCAGCTGGCCTGCTTTGGGACCTTGCAACCTCTGAATGATCTCTGCTTTCATTTCCATGGCAATGTGAGCAGGCAGTAAAGAAAGTAGAAGACGCTCCTAAAATTTAAAATGGTATGTCCATAATTTATTCAAGGAGAATAAAATCAGCATGGAATCAATATTGTGCAAGGTATACTTTGTTAAGATATTACAACAGTTTGGTGAGGCTTGCAATCATGCATTTGCCTGGTATAGCCTCCAAAATTAATCAGTTCCTTGAAGAACCTGACTGATATTCACACATTTCCAAGTAATATCTAAGTAATATTTTTTCAGATGTATTTTAAATGCTTGCACATAGTTTTAAAAGGTATAAGACTGAAAAGGAAAAGATAAACTCAGAACACACAAAATGTTGGGCTTTTGCAGAATTCATTATTTTAATACATATTCCGCCTTTAATTTGGCATTTGCCAAACCGAAGTTTTCAGAAAATATTCTAAAGCAACAAGGAAATTGGCTACATGCAAAAACAAAACAAAACCCATTTTTCTTATCTTTTCTTGGTATTATACTTACGGTCTTCTCCTTAAGAAAATCCATTACCTTGGTACATTTTAATTTTACCCATATTACCTGTGACAGCTTTTCATTGATTACCTACTTAACTGGTAAATAGAACTAACGAGACTAGCTAGAACTCTGAAGAAAAAAAAATACCTTCTACATTGATCATACCTCACCTCAAAACTGAACTTTCCATGGAAATTTCCTATTTTCTGGTAGAGCTGTGGGGAGAATCTAAGTCTGGTTAAGCACGAAAAATAGACCCTGAACCAATGTGGAAGGAGAAGTCAGCTATGAAAGCCCATGACAGATTCAGAGAGAGAAACAGCTGTACCAGAAAAGATGACCACCTCTAAAATTCGTGATTTCTGCAAGTGTTATTCACAGTGATGCATTCTCTTTGGTTCATGATATGTAGTTTTGTGTTGTTTGCAGTCCTATTCATGAGGGTACCAGCAGTGTAACCATTAATGCAACACTCTGCCTGGGATAATTATTCCTATTCAGATCTAATGGTCTGGAGCAGATCATGGCATTAACAGTGCTGTAAACTCTATGATATGTACAGCTTGCTTGGCTATCTATCTCATTAACAAGTAATGAAGACTCCCTGTTCCCCAAAGCATTTGTGTACCTCTGAGCACAGCATTAACATGCACAAAACCTCTAAATCTGGTCCTGTATAGACTGTGTAAAAAAAACCCTTCTATTTCAATGAATCAAGACAGAATCTTGCTTTGTTGTTAAGTAGTATTGAACCAATCCCCCCTCCTTTTTTTTTTTTTTTTTAACTTTGTTGAAATCTAGAAGTAATCCTGATTCACATGTGTATGGGCTGCTCTTTATTTTGCATACTAAATCATGTCACAAAAACAGTAAGACAAGTCATGAAGTCTGACTAAATGAAAGAAGAATGAAATAAAAGGCATACTGTTTTCCTTCTGCTAAGATCTCAGATTGACACGTTGTAACTAGGATGAATATCTACAATTGACTTTTCATCTAAATGTTAATGTTCACTCATTTCTTGAACTGAAAGATTTATTTATTATGGTTAGGCAGTTAGGCAGGTCCAAGAGGTCAATGTATTTGCATTTTTAAAATAGCCTGGTGGAGATATTTTGCTAGCTTATAAAGAATGCCTCCAAAACCAATCATTTTTTCCCCATAATGAAAGCCTACTCTTGCAAGTTGCTGTTTATCAAACAGAAAGCAGTTGTGCATTTTGTGACTTATGGTACAGGTCAGCACTTGTTATCATTAAACAGGTAACAAAAAGGTGAACGGTCTTCGCTCGAATTTTACTTCACTGTGCTCTGTGCACTGTTGTGACCTGGCCAGTAAATGCAAACTAGATCACTACCTTCCTATGACTCTTAAGATTCCACAAACATGGTGAGGCAGACATTCAACATCCAGGTTACTCCTGATGTCTTGAAAACCTCAGAGAGGCAGGAAAAAGGTCAAAGAGAGGAACAACAGAAATGATATCTGTCAAGCTACGAGTCCCAAATTCTCATGTGCAAGTTGACTTTCTTGTCAGAATATTATCTGACTTGCGGAGGTGATTTTCCCAGTCGTCCCTAGTTATGTATCACTTGCCTAAAGCTTGGTAAACTCTAGATGCTTGTTTAGCTTGAATAAATTGGCACATCTGTTAAAGCTCATAGAGCTGCATCAATTTTTATAAGGTAGCATTTGCAGCATTTTGCACAATGAAGGTTGTGCTGCTGTTATGCTATAAACAAACGAAATACCCTCAAATACTTGGAATGGTACATTTTCTTAAGTGCTTTTTATCAAAGTAAATTCTTCTTGACCCAGGGCGATAGTGTATTGTTTGTTCGTTCCTGTTTGTTATGTAAAGTACTAATTCTGATTCACTCATTTGTACAAGACTACACGGCTAATGTCAACCCTCCTTTTCACCTATAGATGTGTTACTTCTAAGAATTTGCAGATTTAAAGGCCAAAAAGAAAACAGTCCTCCATCTACTCAAATCTCTTGAATAATACAGACAACAAAAATGTCATCATGGAGAAAAAGAGGTATTCTGATAGGGTTCGCTACATTAAAATCAGTTTAGCACCTTACTTCAGTGGAGAGGAACCAACCTTTAAGCAGTTCACAGAATTTAATACTACATTCCTGCAGGGGGCAATTCTCTGTCTCTTTGTTATCTATGGAGGAAACCGAAAGTCCAAACTTTGGTCTTACTGGAAGAAACGCCCATCTTTGCTGTTGAGCCTTTGATGTTGATGAAGGCTGCAGAAAAACTATATATATGTAGATCAATGATGTGAAATAGGGACATTTTTTGTCCCTGTAGCCCCATACAAGGGTATTTTTTGTACCAGAGTGTCATTTAGGACACTCAATACAGAATTTTACTTTTCCGGTTTTGTTTTCAGATTGCTGTGGCATACGTCTAACCATGTATTTAGCAAACTTGACAAACCAGGTCAATAAGTCAGCAGTGAAAGCTCTAGAAGCAATCAGCCTATATGACACCTCAGCTTCCCAATGAAGTTTATAAGTAAACTAGGATAAATTATTATTTTTTTTTTATCTGCCTTTGAAAGGTATCAAGAAATAATCTACCAAAAAAAAAAAAAGAATCACATGATTCCTGATCACACGGTGATGAATCAGCCACCTGGCTCACACAGACAGAGATCAACGGGGTACTTGTTTGGCAAATTATGGTACTGTTTTCCAATTCCCATGTATGTTCTCTTAAATAGACCTACTAGGATAAACAGCTTTAACTTGGTTTTGATTAAAGGTGACTTGACTCCTAACTGGGAAGAAGAGATCATTTTTAACAACCAGGTGATATTATTCCCTTAAATTTGCTCAGTTAGTAACCTCCACCACCATTATTACCCTTGCACCGAGACTAATAAATTGTGTTTTATTCATACAAAACAAGGAAGAGTATTTAATCTTGATTACAGAAGCATTAAGAGATGTAGAATTTATCAATTCCTTAGCTGTCTGTCCTACTGCTTGAAAATGCGTTCTATATTTCTTATTTCCGAATCTTGGTCCTGTTACACCTTTCTTAGCTCAAGATTAAAGTGCACACTATTTTTCTTGTAAAGAATTTAAACACTAATCAGATAACTCCATTTCCTTTTCCATCAGGCATACAAACTTAGCTCCATAAATCTCCTGCCACTACATACTTTCTACAGTCTTTTTTCTATACCCTATACAACCTTCAAACATTTGTGAAAGCTGATTTGACACAAGTCTTGACATTACATTCCAGTACACAGACATTCATGCACATACTGTCTTGCCCTGTTCCCCTCAATATGTCCACGACTTACACGGCACAGCTCTCCACTGTAACACTGGTAGAGTTCCCTGCCTGCTATGGCTGCAAAATACTTTTCAAAATTGCAGCTTTCCAAATTTCTAGCTAAGAAACATACTCATCGTTTTCAGACTAATGACTTTCCAGACACAGGACAAAGGTGTATCTTGACTTGATAAATACAGTTTCTGAAATATTCTATATTACTGTATTTTCTATCAAACCAATATTTGACTTTTCTACAAAATGACTGTGATTGCTTTTAAATATCTCCTAGGTCATTAATAAAAAATAAATATTAGATCAAAGGACAAGAACTGGTTCTTGCAGAACACTATGCACATGCCCACCCATTGAACATTTCCACTGACAATTTAAAATTACACCACTCAAAATCCATTAGACAGGGCTCTTTTAATGGGGAGCAGTTTCAGAGTTTTTAACCAAGATATCCAGTGTCATTACATCAAAAATCTTGCTGAAATCTACTACTTCTGGGACGTTATTTAAACCAAACCTGTTCCCCATTAAAAACTGAAAAACGCAGTTATATAACTTTCTGCAAACTTGAGTACATCCTTCTATTTATTTACAAACACAGAATCATCATAGCAGAATCTTTAATTTTAAATTGATTGGGTTTTTTTGTTTGTTTTGTTTTGTTTGTTTCTTTGTTTTTGGAATACTTTTAAAACTGGTCCTGGCCTTGACAAAAACAGGCAAAGATTTTTCCCTACATATTAGAATATTCATAATATTGAACCATTTTTTACATATCTAATTGCTGCTTTTCCTGTCATTCATGGCTAGTACAGACTTTAAGCCAAAGCTGACATCTTTTCTGATTACAGAATTATGAACTCTAATCCATTAATTAACACACTCCTAAAGGACTCCCTATTGCTAACAACATTCATCTACGTATTTTTTAATTTGTGTGGAAAAGTTTTTTTCAAATCCCCAAGCATTGCATTGTAAGACTTTCTTCATGATCCTCTAGGTGAAATTTCAAGGCTAGAAACACCAAGAACTATAAAATCAAAACCAGAAAATTAAAACACATAAGCTGAATGAGAGCACCGCCCCCTCACTCCTCTTTACTTCACCAGCCAAGAAAAGCAAGGTCCCACACAGCTGTTTATTTTTGCAGAGGACACACAGCTGATGCCCAGGAGCAGCAGGCCTTGGCCACTCCAGCAAGAAAGGAGCAGAATCAGGGGGTGTGAT